TTTTTTTTTTCTTTTTTAAATCTAGGGGTCTAGAAAAYCGTGCCCACAGTGAGCAGTTTAGTGCGTTCTTCAGGCTACCCAAAGAAGAGACTTTGAAGGAAGTTCATGAGTGCTTCTTATGGGTTCCTTTCAGTCATTTCAATACCCATGGGAAAATGTGCATCTCAGAAAACTACATCTGTTTTGCCAGCCAGGATGGCAGCTCGTGCAGTGTAATCATTCCATTAAGAGAGGTAATGCAAACTACAAACAGAGCTAGTTATACTCAGAGTTTTGTGCTTGTGTCGTTTAATGCCAGGGTAGTAATTTATTTTTCTCAGTACAGATTTCATTAGAAACTATTTCTTTTGCTTGATGCTGTACACTTCCCCCTTGCTGCATATTGCATGTAGGAATCCTGTGGCTTATAGAATTGCTTTCATRTTTTCTGTACGTACTGTCTGTGCCTGCTACTTGATGTAGATATAAACGTTACTTGACACAGTGGGGTGAATTCTCACTTGGTATGATTTAATATTCTATGTCAGTCTAGTTATAGCAGGTAGCTCTGACCCAAAATCAGCRTAACTTTTTCTTATCTTAAATGAGTTATTTCTTTAAACAGCATTTTTGGAATTACTGTTATCCATTCAGATTAATTTCTGGTGTAACTCAGTTAATCTCAGCAATACAGTTAGTGTTCCCTACCCAGACAGTGCAGTTCTAGTTGTCTATTTGTAGACTTGGAAGCAACAGTTTTTTCCATAAACTGTGATAAGCAACAAGAGAGATTTTGTTAAATGAATTGATTCTAAATTCTCCCTTGGGGATTGTCAGGCCATTGCTATTCRTTCTACAGTACCGCAGACTTATTTCACTTCAGTAATCTTTTACTCCTTGCCTATAGCAATGTAAAAGCAACAGCAAAGGCAGTCGGTCTATGTATTCATGACTTTCTTATGMGTTTATTTTCCCCAAAGTACTTACATTAATAAAGTATATTAACTACTGTAATCTGTAACTGTTCCATCATGACAATTAAAATCAGTTCCAGCTGTCATGTGTTGACAGCTGTCTTTGAAAGAGTATTCTCAGTGGAAATTAATTCCTGCAAAACTTGTTTCACTTGGTTACCTGCAGGAGCCATGTGTTGTCTGTTCTTATATGATAAGAAAAAAAGTAAGAAAGCTTCAGCATGTAGGAGGGGGCAGGATTTTCAAGCAAGCTCTGCACTTAAAAGCTAGCAACACCTTTTCAAAGATAGTTGGCACTCTAAATCTGCTGAAAATCTATCCTGTAATATTTATTACTTTCTGCTAGAATAGCTGCAGATTATGTGATTAAAAGTTATAAAGTCACCTGTGTTAATTCTGCAGGTGTTACACTTTGTAGCACTGTTTCATGTGCACGTGTATTTTTAACCGCTTTTTCTCTTTTGGAAGCAAGCAGGTAGCTTTGCTGAGATGCATTGCTCCACTTCTTATCCTTGCTTCCCTAGGTTGTAGGAGTGGATAAGACAGATCCAGCCAACAGGGGAGTCAGCATTAGTACCAAAGGAAAAACAGCTTTTCGTTTTACTGAGGTTAGAGATTTTGAACAGCTTGTGGCAAAGCTCAGGATCAAATGTGGTGCAACTTCAAGTCCACAGCGCATCGTAAATACAGAGGTAACTGCTTAGCTAATTTCGATTTCTTACTACCTATTTTCAGGAAGTTTATCTAGGTGAAGGATGAGCAACAATGTCTGCTTCCCCTCTAGATTTGATATTGATGTATTTGAAGGCTGTGTGTCAGAATCAAGCAGATATTTGCAGTTAATCCAAAGATGGGCTACCCTAATACCTGAAGTGCCTCAGATGTACAAAACTGAGGGTCTGATAAGCCAAAGACCCCTACATAGAATCATTTGGTGTAGCCTCTAAAATGACCATTGTTAAGAGTGGAGAAGCATACGGATGCTTTAAGTAGAAACCAATAGTGTATCATCAAAATCTCTACCTTGAAACTTTGATTTTTAAGGGTCAAATGACACAAGTAAGTAATATGAGCAAGACAGCTTGTTAGCAGCAGAAATGCTCAGCTGATAAGGGTACAGCCCGGTACTGGGAGACCTGAGTGATAAGCTCTGCTGCTCAAGGGCATTCAGCTTTAGACTGCCCTTGCTTGGGTTATATCTGTATTATTTTGACAAACCCTGCTGAGTGTGTAGCTCTGTTTTTAAGGTGTGGAAAAATGAAAGACTATTCTCATACAAAAAAGAACAGTGTGACCGGTAACACTGCGAAGGCATCATGTTTCAGATTATTTTACTGTATTTTCTATGATGTTTCGCAAAGCTATCATTTTTGCAAAGCAGTCCAGGTCTGTATCACTGGGTTTGAATTGCCATCAAACATTTATATGTAGTTCTTGACATTTGTGACTACCATTATTATTTTTTTGTCCTTTATTTTTTTAAGACTGCAGCTAGTTCTGACTCTGACAATCCAGTGGATTTTGATGAGGGACGATCGAAGACGGGTCAGAGGGATAACAGCAAAACTGTCAGTACAGAAGCCCTGATGACTGTCTACCATCCTCAGGATGCTGAAAATCTAGACTCTAAAATGGTAAGGAATAAATTGACTGACAGCTTTTGGAATCTACTTGGAAAGGACTTAAGTATATTCAAAAAGTATTCCAGCAAGGCTGCTGATTTCTTCTGGAGGTTTGCCAATATTCTTTCATCYGCAGACTCTGTATTTTGAGTCCACAGGGTGCTGCTTCTTGGCTTCACTCGATTTTCTGCTCATCTTGTTTAATAATGATATGCCTTATCTTTAAGGAGCAAATTCCACCAGCTCATCCACTCCCTCGGGGGAAGCAGCTGTTTGTTTTGTGATAATGAACGTGTTTTGTATCAGTCTGAATTATCACAATACAAAGTCACTACAAACTCTTTGGGAGCAAGGAGAATGTTATCAGGAAGTAGACTTCATTTTTTGTTGTTGTTGCTGCTGCTTCATTTCTGTTTACCAAAGTGATGCTCTGGAGATATATATATGTATTTATTCTCTTTGCAGCATGGTGTATTAATTTTGGTTCTCCATGATGTGTACCAGAGGGCAGAAAGGTTTTATTTTAAAATTAGTCTTAAGCAAAATTGTTATAATCAGATACAGAATTTCTGATAATTTATTCTGATAATTTATTCTGATAATTCTGATAATTCTGAGAAATGTTAGAAAATAAACCCGCTTTCTTTGTGCAGGAATGACAGGGATATGGATTTTTCAGTGCTGTTTTTTTTATTAAAAAAAACCCTTATTCTATATGTAGATTAGATTTTGCTCTGATTTGCACCAATTTTATTTTCAGATACTGATATTGCTACTAKAGCTGCTCTTTCCAGTCTATATGAATGTTATAGGGAGCAAATCTATTTCTGTCCTCTGAAACATGAAGAATTGTTTCCAGCATAATTACTGGTCTTTTGTTTTGCCTATTCACAGTTAAAAGAAAAAATGAAAGAACAGTCCTGGAACATCCTCTTTGTTGAGCGGGGACATGGTGTCAGTATGTTTCGGACAAAGAAGACTCGAGACCTGGTTGTGAGAGGGATCCCAGAGTCCTTAAGAGGAGAGCTCTGGCTGCTCTTCTCAGGTATTGTGTAACAAGCAGAATTCATTTGTTTTGCACGTTCTTGCCATATGAATGTCCTAGATACTGACTGAACGGATTCTGTCCCCCCAGAATGCTTTTTTCCTGCAGTAAATCATCTGGATATTTCTAACCAAGAACACTTCAAAATAATGGCTGAAATTATACTGTTCTACACTGATTCAAAGTAAACCTGAATTTATGTTTTTACTGCATAGTCAGATGAAAAATGCTGATAAGACTATGTGTTCTGTTCTTAAAATTCAAAGGGGCAATCAGTTTCAGCAAAGCTTCTCTAATTGCTTAAAAGAAAAAAGTATTTGTGGGACTGTTTTTAGATGCTTTGATTTAAGCTTTCTGAGATTATAGCGTTCCCAGACAAATGAAGTTTTTCTGGCAGAGAATTTAGCCTCAGCATTGGAGTCTCTTTGCTGTATTGCTTGGTACAAAGAATGAGCCTTACAGAAATTGTGGACTTACCATATATATGGGATCTCTTTACCAAGCACTGAGTGTTTTTCTGGCTTTCTTCTTTAGAATATGCCTGTATCAGAGTATTCACCAAGCAGAAATGAAAGTCCATGGATCTTCCATGGATAGTCCATGATATCCCTAAGTTTTAGATGATGTTTGGCAAAGAAATTATGGACAATATGTACAGATAATTTCAGTCTTTTGCCAAGTTTTGTTTAATGTTTTACCAGCATACAGAAAGTAAGCTATTGCATTTGTGAGAAAATTTAAGCAAAATTGTAGTTAAAAACAAAGCTTCTTAAAAATGGAACAGAGAAAAAGTAAAGTTTAAAAAAAAATTAAGCTTACAATGGAAACTGATTTAGATTTCTTCCAAGCCTTATTTTATATTGCTTTGCTGTTTGTTGTGATCACTAATGTGCTTTTTTTTAATTGTAGAGAATCATGTGGATACTTTAGCATTGACTTCTGATGATGTGCAATAAAATGTATTGGCAGGTGCTGTAAATGATATGGCATCCAACCCCGGTTATTACACTGAGTTGGTGGAAAAGTCCCTAGGGACATGCACTTTAGCTACAGATGAGATTGAACGAGATTTGTGTCGTTCCTTACCGGAGCATCCTGCTTTTCAAAGCGACACCGGAATTTCTGCACTAAGGAGAGTCCTTACAGCTTATGCATACAGGAATCCCCAAATTGGATATTGTCAGGTACATAAGTCTTGAGATGCTTAGTAGCGGTTGTCTAAACATTAGTTCATTGTAGCAGTACATTGGCACCTTATAAAATCAATACCCAAACATTTAAGCTTTCTTGCTCTGTAACTCACTTAACACTCATTTCATCCCACTGAATAACATCAACTCTCACTTTGTACTTGAATCTGCTATTAAATGTTGCCATGTCTACTGAATTTATGTCACTGTGTTTCTGCTAGACTTCTAACACTTAAAATATTATGTAGCTTAAATAATATTCTCTGCATTTGATGATACTGAGATAAGGATCTCATAGTGGATACAACTATACTTCATCCTATCAGTCTAAAGATATGTCTTTTAGAAATATGAATTCTAACATCTGGCACACTTGAGTTGTCTTTTTTACTATGTTCTCTTGTAAATGTGTCCTTTCCTGTTTAACCACCGCAGGCAATGAATATTTTGACATCAGTACTTCTGCTGTATGCTAAGGAGGAGGAAGCCTTCTGGCTGTTGGTTGCTGTCTGCGAAAGAATGCTACCTGATTATTTCAATCGCCGAATTATTGGTAATATCCCTCTGTCTTTTTATCTACCTAGAATTGAATAGAAATGATCATTGATTGAGAGTGAGTGTTAAGGAATGGCCTGAAGCCTGAACATTGGAGAGAAACTTTGGATAATAATTCAGTATTGTAAAGCAGAAAATGGGAATAAGAGAACATCCCTAGGCCCTTCTTAACCATGAATGGATGTGGCTTTCACATATTGTCATTGCTGTATGAGTGACTGCAGAGGAAATGCAAGACTTTAGACTGTTACACTCTTGAGATTTTATCTGAAATTCAAACTACTAATTTGAAACACAGACCACTTAAAGGAAAAGTAGCTGTTCTATGATTCGTGCTTAATCTTTGATCCAGTACTTGGTGTTTGCAGATGTGTATGCTAGGAGAAAATTGCACATGAAATGTCTCTCTCACTGCAGAGAGGGTTTGTCATCTTTCAGGAGAGTCATCATCAGTAGCCATGCACCCACAGAAGTCCTAACATATTTCACAGCATGCAGTGAGGCTCTGCACTGTGCATCGAGTGCACGAGTGCCAGCACAGGGGATGCAGCTGATGATGCCATGTAGTGAGACCTGTGTTTTTATAACCAAATTGCAGTAGGACAAGGTTTCTTTTTCTGGCCAGCATTCTTAGAAATGTGTGCTTCTCTGTATTAAGGTCTGGGTGGTGGTTTTGTTGTCCTCTCCCTGCAGGTGCCTTGGTAGATCAGGCAGTGTTTGAGGAGCTCATCAGGGTTCATCTGCCTCAGTTGACAGATCACATGACGGACATGACATTTTTCTCCTCGGTCTCTCTCTCCTGGTTCCTTACCCTTTTTATCAGTGTGCTGCCTATTGAAAGTGCAGTCAATGTGGTGGACTGTTTCTTCTATGATGGAATAAAGGCAATCTTGCAACTTGGCCTCACAGTGCTGGACTACAACATTGAAAAGTTGCTGACTTGTAAGGATGATGCAGAAGCAGTGACTGTGCTCAACAGGTATCAATGTCACTATTATTTCTATAGGCAATATAGCTATAGATGTGTCATTGTGGGGGCAGCTGAGAAGACATCTGGCCAAGACTTCCAGAGGCTTCTAAGGAACTGGGTTTTCATTTCAGGCTGAAATTCTGTGGTTTTTTTTTTTTTTTTTTTTTTTAATATTACTTATTGAAGGGGCTTTCCTTAATGACCAGGTCATCTAGAGGATGATAGATTTTTTTTTGAGCACTCTCGACATCAGCTTACTAACAACTTCCACAATTCTGTTTTTGTAGCTTGGACTACTACTTCCTGTGTTACTGATAATAAATATGGGGCAAAAACTGTTGGGGACAATCATGAGCATGCATGATAAGTAAAATGAGCATAATATTGGCTTCGCTGCCTTCCTCAGTTGTTTCTGCTGCTGCTGTGATTGTGCGTCATTGAATATTAGAATAGCAAACACGATGCTGAGACTGTGCCATATGAGTCACAAGTTCTAAGTATTGTACACTAATAGTAAGAATTTCCTTTTAGCCAGGCTTTAAAATATTGCATGTTTCAACAAGAGCTCTTGAATTATAGAGTAAAATGTATTTTTTATTTTAAGAGACCATGCACCCACTTGGTTATTGTAAAATCTAATTGTGCTAATTTAAAATTTTTACCATTTAAAAACGCACCAGTAGTAAATGCACTTTCAGCCAGTTTAAATGCCATAAAATTTATAGTATGAAAGGAGAGTGGAATTTAGTTTTCTCTTGGTCCAAACTCTTAGAACCTTGTAAATTCCTTCTGAACTGTTACTTGCAGCATTTTTCTACTTGTAGCACTCCTGTTGCACAGTTAACCCCTCTAGCAGCATTCTAGCATATTTTTTAAGAGCTAATTAACAGCAGTTTGCTTCTCCTCAAGACTAAGGAAGCTATTTCTCAGTAGAACTCAGCACTGCTTAGTATTGCTCTCTTTCTGTTCCTTAGTGTTGGCAAAGGCATTGGATGACCTCCATAATGGGACTCTCTGGGTTTTTGGTGCATGTGTGATGAGTAGGTGCTATGAGGCCTGTCTTGGCTGCTGCACCTGAGAAAACTAAGATTGCAAGGGACCTCCAAAAGTCCCTAGTCCAGGTTCATACTTAAAAAAAGAACCATTACCAGCACTAGATCACATCAGCCATGTTGCTGTCTAGCTGGGTCTTGAAAACTGCCAGGGTTTTAGGCTCCACAGCATTCTCTGGGTAGCCAGTTCCAGGTTTGCCCATTTGTGGTTCTGTTGCAGCAGACGTGCGCTACTCARGCTAAGCTTCATGCTGGCTTTTTCCCATAGCCAACTTTTCACTGCTGATGTGAAAAGTTTTGTTAAACCAGGACTTGCTAATTCTTGCTGTGCTTGCTTCATGCAGGTTTTTTGACAGTGTCACCAACAAAGACAGTCCTTTGCCTCCCACTGTGCAGCAGGGCTCCAACCTCAGCAGTGCAAAGAGTGACCACCCAAAAGTGGACATTACTGATTTGATCCGAGAGTCAAACGAAGTACGTGTTCTTATTGTGGGTATGTTTTCCCATCACACACAATGTTTGCAGTTCATGGGCTACCTTAAAATCCTGCAGCTGCATTGCAATAGAGGACGAGAAGAGAACTAGAGGAGTAGAAGGCTCCCCTAAGCTAGCATAGATTGGGCGCTGTAATTTGCTGATTACTGAAACTGAAAACCCTGAAAACCTTGCAGGTTAGGCTATGGGGTAGATTTGTTTTTGTTCTGATAGATTTTTTTTTTTAATTGCCTGAAATGTACTTGATAGGCTGCTTCAGAGGGGAGTTTCTTGGATTCTTCATAGCTCCTGTGCTGGTATCCCTCATYCACTGTTTCAGTCTCTGTACACTGCCACCTAAATGACAAACTGAAGGTACAGGAGAGGCAGCCTTGGCTGTTACTAATTTGKGACTGCTTGCTGCCTGCTGCAGAGAGTGGTAATGTTTGACATAGCAGCCAAAGCAGGAAACTGGATGTTCTAGAGAAGTTTATTGTTCAGAGGAAATGGACATTTTGAGATGTACTAAGTGGGGAAAAAAAAGCCAGTTAAATATTTTACCACTTCCTTCCAAATTATAAATTTAGTTTCTGTAGCATYTATCTTTTGCAGCTCTACATTGGGGAAGAAATAACTTTATTAGGAAGGGCAAAACCTTCTCTGCAGTGTTGGGATGATCATATAAAACATCTGTGCTTCTGCAGTCTTGTTTCACAAGAGTATTCTGCCAATCAGTTATATTTGTAAAACACTTTAAGATCCTGTAAGACAAATGTCACGTTCTTATGGGCCTTTCTTGTCACGGTGAAACTGCCTGATAATGACAGAGGATGGTTCAGGTTAAAGAATAGAGGTGATCAAGAATGCAGAGTTGTGTTGCTTTTTGAAGTGAAAGCTGAGTCTTTAACGAACATGGAATCATTACTAAAAGACCAGAGAAGAATCATTACTAAAAGACCAGAGAATGCAAAAAAAAAAAACCTCAGCCCTCTTGGTTCTGCCTTTATAGCTAGGTTGTTGGCCCAAGTAAGTAGCCTGTAATTTGATTTGTTTTTTAAACATTGTGTCCTTGAACCTGATATTTCTCACTCCCAAGCTGGCAAGTCCTGTTCTTAGTCCTATATCCCCATTTCTAACTTGTGGCCCCTCTTCTGSCTGCAAATTTTATTTCCTCAGTTGAAATGAATTTCTGTACATCTCTTAAGTGTCACAACCTCTTGTTGGGGAAGTCTTGATACAAAGTAAGAGTCAATTTGTCATTTCCCATTTTGACCAGACAGTTCATTTCAACATTTCAACGTAATTTTGTTTTAGCAATAGTTTTTTTTTTTTTTTCCTCCCTATCACTGTGGAATGAAAATAAATTTCAAAATGTGAGTATTGCTGCAAAGGAATTGTCATCTCACAGATAGGTCTAGTTGCTAATTGTGAATGAGTGGACAGAGATATTCCGTGTGATCCTGTTGCTTMACATGGCTGTTAGGAAGATAAATGAGATAAAGTGAAAAGATATGGAGTCAAATTTCAAATTATGTCCTACTTATGGCTGTAAGATTCAATCTTTTAYAACCTAATCTAGTATGAAGACCATGTTTAACTACTGAATGGAAAAACATGTAGCTTTTAATTTACTAATTTACGATTAGATTATACTTCTTGTTTTATATTCTTGCTGAGACCATTGCACAATATCAATGCCCAGACCAGTGAAAGAGCTATGACTCAGAGGTGCAGTTTCTGCAGTTTCTGCCCTGCTTCCTTTTTTGTTTTATTTTTTTTTCCCTCCAGGAATGAAATATACTGCTGGTGGTCTTAACAGAAACATAGAAATTCTAGAAAAGAATTCCAGGAGTCATGTAGTTGAATTCTCTGCCAAGAGTAAAACTACATCATCATTGAAAAATATGCTAACTCTTTCTTAAAACTTTCTAGAAAAGAGAACTTGCAACAACTTTAGCCTGTGGTAGTGTTTATCTACCTTCAGTCTGAAAATACCATAATATTCACTGTAATTCGCTTGGAGTGTAGCATTCTGATATCCAACATAACTCCCCCTGGGATAGTCATGAAGCTGATTTGCTTTTCCAAGCCACTGCAGAAAACCAATTGCAGTTGGGTAGAGAGGCAACACGGTGTAAGGTCCCTTTCTTTGCTTTCTTGACCACACTGAACTGCTTCAGAATTTCTCTTCTCTCTCCATCATCCTTTGAAACATTTGCCCTTTTAAGAGTTGCCCTGTGTAGTCAATGGAAGCAAGATAGACCTGTCTGCTTAGATGTGCGTAGTGGCAGTGGATTTCACAAATGTGTGCTTCCTTTTCYGTAGAGGTACGGCGATATTCGATACGAGGATGTTGAGAGCATGCGCAGCAGGAACAGGCTTTATGTGATCCAGACATTAGAAGCTACAACCAAGCATAATGTGGTGAGTGTCTTGAGAGAGCTCAAGCCTTTCCTCTGATAAAATTCCTCCTTTTTGAGAAAATTCAGAGATGAGCTGCATTTTCTAAGGCCAATTAAATCATTTTATAGGTTTCAATCGTTCTCATCTGCAGGGTGTCTTAAGTGAGGCCTGTGATGCTTTCAATCTGTAAATCACAGCATGACCTTCTGCTCTTGTTACAAGTAACATCACAGGAGCTTCTAAAGGCCAGTATCTCTCTTGGCACTCTGCATTAATTGGAAAAGACTGACCTATATTTCTGTTAGCTATTGTTAAATTATTAATGCATTTCTCTTAGAGACATAAAGCCCTCTGAAAGGTCCATAGTGCTCTAAAGAGTGATCATAAATGCCACTGAAGAAACAATTTTACAACAGTTTAACAAAGCTTGTTTCTTCTGTCTGTGCTGTATGTTGCTGTCCTCTAATATATATGTGGTGTGGTGACTCTGTAGCTGCCATCATCCTTAAAGTTCAGACTCCTAAAAGAAGGAGCAAGGATCTTCCTTTGTTTGCCTGTTTTCTTCTATTTTGTTTTATAAAACGTACTTATTGTGAAGATGGATCCTGGTCTTGTAGCTAAATTTGATCTTCAAAGTTGAAGGTTTTTTTCTTCGTTAAAGAAATTGGAATTCAGTTTCACTGGTAAGGGCTGAATGTGTGTTAGTGTTTTATTAAAGAAGCTGTATGTTGCGTTGTAATTTGATTTTGTCTCTTTCATGTCAGTGTAGGCTCAATGTATGCAAATAATGTAAATTGYATTAAGCCTCCTTTTCCGTGAAGAAATTATTTTTTTCCAGCCGTCTTCTGATTGCTTTTAAAAATAGAGATTCTCTTCTTTCTTCTAGTTGTAACATGCCAAAACTTCATTTTTAGTGTCGTCCAGAACTTTATTCTACAGGATTATTCCAAAGATGTCATCATTTAGTTAATTTTCTCTTCATTTTGCTTCAGCTGCGTGTTGTGTCCCAGGATGTAAAATTCAGTCCCAGTGACCTTGAAGAGCTTTATGAATTATTCAAGGTAACGTGCTCTTTTCCTGATTTATCAAATACCCCTCTAATGTCAGACTGTAGTATTAGTGTATAACAATTCTAACAATTCCAGGCGAAAGCTAAATTCAACAGGTATGTTTTGCATGGCAACTTGGAATCAAGTGGCATAATTAACATCCCACAGCTTTCACCCCAGGAGATAATTGCCCTTTCATAGCATCTAACATTTTGCCTTTCCTTTGCAGAGGGAGCACTTTCTTTCCTGTTACTGGAATGTGAACAGTCCTGTCTTGCAACACCATGATGCCAGTCTGCCATATCTGGACCAGTATCGGATTGACTGCCAGCAATTCAGGGTTCTCTGTCACCTCTTGAGTCCATGGTCGCATTGTGCCAACAGAGACTCGCTTGCACTGTGGATATTCAGGCTTACGGATGAGAACTCTGACGGCCTTATAAATTTCAAACAATTTGCCTGTGTTCTTGGTATGAAAACAGTGCTTATTTAGCACCTTGACAAGGGAGCTCTGTCCTGGGTGGAGTCCTGGAAATGCTTCTGTGTATCTTCTTCCATGCTGTATCTGAGGAACTTAAGGAGGCTAGTCTCTTAAACTAGGGTTGAAACAGTTTTGTCTTTATTGTATAGTATTAAATGCAAAGATTAAATGCACCTCAGATGCTCRGAATATGTTAAGTTTAAGCATAGAYGTTACATTTTTAGGTGGATGATAAGAGCTTTTAATGGGAGAACTGTACTCTTGTTGGTTTGCTTGTCTGTCTATGACATGAAATGGCTAACATCAGGCTTCGTAAATCAGTTTTTTTTTTTGAAATGTAAATCCTGTAAATCCCCCTGAGATTATATTTTAAAATGATTTTACCATCAAAATAGCAGAAAGTTAGGAAATAGTACAACCCTATTGCCCAAACTTTTGTGGTTGATGATAAATTCTTCCTCACACTGTGAACTACCTCATATGCAGATCGTGCAAGATAACCAAGGTTATCTTATTTTCAAAGTGCTGTTGTGCAGGAAGCAAAAATATAAGAGAAAAAACTGAGAAGACGTTAGTGATATCTATATATAGATAGATATAGATATATATAGCCTGCTGTGGCTTCATTTTAGTGAGTGATAGACATTGTTCTATGCTCTGGATGTACTTTCTTCTGTAACCAAGGTTTTAGTTCATGACAGAAGATGTGTTATGGTTTGTTAAAAAGCCACACTTCTGTGTTTCTCTAGATGTTCAGACATAGTTAACAATAGGATAGTGTGGTGCAATGTTGTAAAGCAGTGTAGACAAACCCCAGGTTCAGCTGCAGGGGTGTTGCCACCCTTATCCTTCATCTCTAATTGTATGCAGAGTAAGATAAGACATATATCCAGTTGCAATTGTTTAGGTTAACAGGGTGTTTTAAAGTTTGGTCCAGCTGATCAGACTGTCTTGCCTCTCTCCTGTAACAGATATCATGTATAATGGAAGTTTCACTGAGAAACTCAAGCTGCTTTTTAAGTTACACATCCCTCCAGGTAAGTGAGAAGCATTGGTGTTTGGTGAGGGCTGTTTCTGTTTTTCAGCTTTACCTTCCTGTTGTCATTGTCCCTGGTTACAGTACTATCCCATAGCTGTAATACAGATGTATGTTCCTTCTAAAGTAATGTACACTTTGAGAACTTAATTTGCTCAAACAGCATTTATGCTTTGTTCATAGGGACAATAAGGCTGTACAAAGCTTTTGTCTGTACTAAGCCATGAAAGCAATTTGTTAATTTTATTGCAGCATTTACTGAAGTAGAGTCTCTAAGCCCTTCTAAAGGTGGTGATCTTTCGAAAGAAGAACTGATCCACTTCAGCCAGCTCAGTGGTAAGTTCTAAAATGTTTGATTATGCACACGTCAGAAGGTTTCTCTTAATTATTGTGTGCTGAAGATGGAGAACTTCTCTGAAAGCCTTCAAAAATTATTTCAAAATCAGCTCTTCCAGCAAATCATGTCGCTGTTGACATGAATTCTATGTGGCAATCTTCTCTAGGTAGTTATATTTGCAAACACAGTAGTGTAGAATTTCTTTGTGGATAGGCATTCTTTTTTTAAAAGCAATTCTTCTTTAACAGTATGTGGTTTAATTTTTATTTATAAACATACAAACTGTATGTGGTAGCAGGTCATCTCAATACCACAATACAAASAACTGCAGTCCTTGCCCTGAATTGCTTATGTCTGATGATAGAATACAAAAAACACAAGCATTTATGTGGAAATAAGATGATACATTTGGCCAATATTTTTCATCCTAGCTGGCAACTTTTCTGTTGCCATGCTTTCTTTGTTGAAGTGCTAGCTGTTTTCTTTCTGCATTCAAGGTATAAAGACATATTTCCTGCCTTAAGGATTTTAATATCCTGGTTCATAATTATATTTACAGAGTTGATAAAGTGTTCTTTTTGGAAAGCTGTGCCTTTGTATTTGCTTGGAGGGGAAATYTTTTTCATATTTTCTATAAATTATCTGAAAGTAGCATGTCTGTAATATGGGAATGTTTTCACCTACAGTTCAACATACAGCCATGAGCATTATCAGACCATTATCAGGATTATCCACTTGATGATTTATTTGATTGCAATGTCTGTTGAGATCTCCAGCCTCACTGTGGCTCATGGTGTTTGTTCCTATTGTGCAGTTGTACAATATGAAGTGTACAGATCTGACCACGCAGTTTCTTCTCGGCTTAATCTATGTTGAGTACAGGGGTCCATAAGGGTCTTGCTCCTTAACCAAGCAATTTCTGATAGAAATAAATGAAGCATTTGCTTTTTCCTTCTTAAAGAAATAACACATTGTTTTTCTCCTCGCAAACTGCAGTCTCATCTACTGTGGATAGTCTTGAAAGTGATGCTTTGAAGAGCAGCCCAGAGAAAGGTAAAGAATCCTGGAGACAATTGGTAACCATGTGTTTTGGGGGGAGAGGAGCTGAGAAASTGTGTGTTGAGGAAGTTTAATAATTAATATCATGCTATCTTGTGTGATCTTAAGCATAATACTAATGTAATTCCCTCTTTTATAACTGTATTTATGAATGGTACTGAGGGCACCAGTTCTTTTGCTTGTTTGCCTATCATCCCTCAGGGAGAGGTCTTAGCTCATGTTTGCGCTTTTTTGCTTTTTTGGTCAACTAGGGAAGGGGAAGGTTGATATTCAGGCATATCTGAAGCAGTGGCAAGATGAACTTCTTAAAAAAGAAGAAAATATTAAGGATCTGCCAAGGATGAATCAGGTAAAACTGCCTATGTCTTTATCTTTCACAAAACAGTTTTTGTTTGCTGTTTATTTTTTAAGTCCTGTTTGTAGTTTTCCAAAAGACTTGTAGTACTCCTTAATTTTCAGACCTTCAATTTAATCATTAGATTGTATTTTTTGAACTAATGTAAGTTGACATAGAAAGGAATTTTCAGACATACCTCAGTTTATCAAGGCTAGCCCAGGTCTCTGTCTTCATCAAAGATGCTGTTCTATTAGACACCTAGGGGCAGCGTTCTGGGGTAGAAAGCTGTGAAGCAGCTGAGCTGGGCTGCTGTTTTCTGAATAGTTTCGTTTCTCTTTCTGCAGTCACAGTTCATCCAGTTCTCAAAAACCCTGTACAATCTGTTCCACGGGGACCCCGAGGAGGAGCTGCTCTATCGGGCTATAGCCGTGGTCACCAGCCTCCTACTGAAAATGGAAGAAGTTGGCAGAAGACTCCAGAGCCCAGCGTCGCCGCTCACTAGTCCAGCTGCTGCTCMTGAGGTGCCTGCTAAAGTCCCAAGCCCAGGGCAGGAGGAAAGCAGCTCTGAGCAGGCTGAAGGCAGTAGAGCTCAGAGTTCAAGAGGAGACCACGAGTGGTCTTTTGCCTTTGAACAGATTCTGGCATCCTTGTTGAATGAGCCAGCCTTTGTGAGATTTTTTGAGAAACCACATGAGATAAAAGCTAAAATAGAGAGTGCTAGAATGTTACAATTAAAAGCAAGAAGCAGAGTGTAATTTTCTTCTCCTTTGCACTCTGCATTAGCAACATAAAGCACTTAGAAATGAAGATTTCTATCTAGTCAATTRAGTGAGGAGTTTACATAGGGAATAGAATTTCAAGAGTTAACTTTAAGTATCAGATACCAGTACACTTTTATGTAAATAAAGATAGTTTCAAGCACAATCACTTTCTTGCATTGTTCATACGTTTCAGTCCTAAAAGGACTGAAGAAAAAACTATTTTTACCGTGTTATTAAAATATGCAACATTGCTAGGAAATAATAGCTGTGATCTATGAGTGGCACTAGGACAAACCTTTCTGAATGACAGCTCTTGCACTGGATGCTGTCCAGGCTCATTTCTATTATTGCRATGAATGTAAAAACTACCACCCATTTTCACTTGAAATGAATAATGGCAGCCAAGATACTGATTTTTGGATTAGTTGAAATAGTTGTTTCTAAACCTGTGTGTGGACTGGAGTTCAAAGCAGGGTGAAGACCAAACATGAAGGCTCTGAAATGGAGGCTGCGTTRGTTAGGGAAGGAGGTTGATGGGCACTCGATTCTCTTGCTCCCATGTTACAGAAGGGCCTGGACTGCTGCAGATCCCAACAGTCTTTCCTTACCAGCAGTTTGTGGACTGCATTCTCCCAGCTTACATACTTATTTTTTTGCAATCTGGCCCTTAGCTAATGCCCTTGCATTTAGTTTCCTACTTTTCTAGCTAGATGTGAGTTACTATTTCCCATTTACCTACCCATCCTCTTAAAACACAAGCGAAAAAGGTTCAGTCATTTCATGTTCAAGGCTGGTGTAGATTGAAAATCCAGGTTGAAATCAGGGGAAAGCAGTGGATAAATGTTTCTCATCTCACTACAGTGATTGTTGTACATCTTGCAAGAGGGGACGTTGTTGGCTCCTCAGGAACGTGTTGATAAAATGTATGGTTTTGCTGTGTGTTTTTTCTAGTGTTCGCATAGCACAGGAACAGAATCATTTTTTGCTGTTTCCCCTTKAGCTGAACACTGACTGTGAAGCTGCTTGTGGACAGGTTGTAGTTGCTCCTTTGTCTCCTCTTAGTCTGCCCCTCAGTCTTGTAATTGTTCCCTGCCTTCTGTAGTGCTCTGGATCATTGCTGTGGTTATATTTTATATATGCTAGGACTAATGGCAGCAACAAAATCTGGCATCTGGATTGGGATTTTTAATATATGTAAAATGATCTAGTGAACAACTTATGAAGGCAAGCTCAAGCACTTTTAATGCGGATAAAAGCTGTTAATGCTCAAGTACCTTGAGCCTTAGGAGGCTTGTGCTAGAGAGGGGGTGTTCAGAGAAAGTCCTTGTATTTTTATTACAAAAGAGAGTAAACTGGGCATCTCTGCTGACCTTAAAATGGGTTAAAATGGGTCTTTCTAAAGGCTATGTGACAATCTTTACGCAAAACAGCATTATTTTTATAAGGTATTTTTTTACAGAAGGGAATGGGGATGGGAATACTGAATGTTGGATGCCTGTTTTGCAATACTAAAATGCATGAGGAATATAATTAAAAGCCCACTTGTGTTGCAGGCAGTTGTTGAAAAGCCRTCATTGAAATGGATATTAAAGTTCCAGTGCTGCTTCTAAAGAAGAGTTTTGATTAACAGCAGTGAATGTATGAATCATTTTCCATACTCCTGCACTCTGCACTCAGGAATTTAATGTAAGACAAGGTTTTATTGAACAAAGAGTAATTTCAAATAATATATCATATATTTGAGGAATGAGGCAGCTTTCTTCAGAAGCCTTCATAAATAGTCGTGCTTGATGCAACACGCCTGCCTTGTCTATTTATGCAGAAAGTATACAAAATTATCCATTCATATGTATGTTTCTAAGGCAAAGTACGACACTACTGTGATAGATGATGAAAAAAACAGTGAGTACTTTGAGTTATAACGTTGTTTGAAAGTACAAAGCAGATAATACTGATGTTCTAGTCCAGGACTCAATCAGATAAGGTTTGCTCAGTGAGTAATTCTTAGGTTAAGCAATTATGCTGCAACTAATGTCATKCCTTGAAAATAGATGCAGCCACTCCTACCAAAAGCTTCTGTAGGATCGTTGAGGATGTTGTTAATTGCAAGGTGACCTCAAAGATATCTAGTATTTGCCAAGTAATGCATTACAGAGACCTGAAATTCATAGAACTYGGTGGCTTTTTTTTTTCATGGAGAACAAAGATGCTTGGAAAAAAATAGTTATATGCAGGTTAAAATAAAAATACAAAAGCTGTATTGCTGGAACCTGCAAAATATATTCAGCTTGTGCTATTACTTGGTGTGGTTATGTAAAACTGAGTACCTTTTTAAAATATCAGTTTTCATCAATATCAACCCAAGAGAGGGGAGAGCCCTTACCAATTTTATAGTTTTTTTCCAGAATCGTTATATCTATTTGTAAACAGAAAAGTACCAGCATAAATGTATTTTTACAAAGTATATATAAGGTGAAAAGCTTGGCTGTTTAGGGGAACACTGAAGTTTATTAGCTGCATGGATTTTTCTATTCAACTTTATATCTCTTTGCCCCTTCCACAAAATGTAATATCTATCTAAGTCTATTTAAATCTCTRTGTCTATTTAAATCCTTCCTGTAATATGTCTGCAGGTTGATGCACCAAAATTAGTGTCCCATCTAGCAGGGCAGAGGTTGGAGGAAAGCTGCTCGGGTGACTGCCTGTAGGGCAGGTTCTTGCCTCTTTGTGCCATGGATCATGGTCTGATCTCCTGGGGAGCCCTTGAGGTAGGAAATCCTGGCTGGAGCCAAGCACTGTGACACGTGGGTGTTTGCTGGGCTGCTACCCTGGCTTGTCACGATGTACTGAAGTTGAGGGACACTCTTGCTTTGGAGAACAACTTAAGGACTAGTGTATGGCTTTTCTACTCTTCCTATGGTGCACATAGCCTTGCCAACAGGTACATGTAGGCGCGTTTGGGAAGGTGGAGGCTAAAGCAACAGAAGCTCTTTCCCTGTCTCCAGTCCCAAAGGAGGATACTTCAACTTCATGACTCTCGTTTCAAGTTCTGCRGGGTCAGGGCAGGGAGCTTCATGTTTTATGGCTCTCTGAACGTCCCAGCGATGCAGAGATGAACCCAGAATCACATCCTATTGCATGAGGGCACTGGGTGAGCAAACATCTGTTGCAAGAGGTCAGCTCTCCGTATAGCTTGGAATTAAGCAGAAGTGCCAGCAAAGACTTTGGGCAGTTGCAGGGTGTCTGGCCTAGGCTGACTCAGCCCCTTCCTATGGAGGAACTTTCCCATGAAATTGCAACGTTAAGATTTTAGAAGTGTTTGGGGAATTTGGGAGGGCTCATGCTCTAATAGGAAGTGTGGTTAATGACTATTGCTGTATCATTCCACTTGGCTGCCTGCATTGCTGCTTTCTGCAACAAGAAAACAAGCGTGTTGGCCTGAAGTGCCGGAGGGCACGTTGGGTGGAATGAGCAAGTTGGGAGCAACCTGTTCCTGACAAGATTTCCTCTGCAAACCAAGGACTAGGGGACAGTGTTTTCATAAAGTTATCTGCTTTTTTTTTTGCGTGTATATGTGTGTGGGGGGGGGCCAGTATAATAAATGTATGTTCATGAGTACAAAACTGACTACACTATAGATTGCTGACACTACTGATGCTGTTTCTGCAGCATTTAAGTGGAACTGCCTCCTGCAGCGGTGCCCAGGGAGGGTGGGCAGCTATGGCAGGGCTGTTCTGTCCAGAAACAGTAGCTCTTGCTGCATATTACACCGGCCCTTCTAGTGGCCGGACCATTGTTATTGTTGCTATGCACATAAAATGCATTTTTTCAACCCAATTGTTATCCCAAGGGAATGGCCAGCAGAGCCCTGGTGGTGTTCCCTGTCGCTTGCAAACCAGAAAGGGACTGTCGGTGGCCCCAAGAACTGGGTGGTGGCAGCTCTGGCCACCATCAGGAGCCATCTGCTGACTCCCATTGTCCATGACATCCCGCTCAGAGGTGTCTTGAATCCTTCAGTGCACGAACAGCTCAATGGAAATAGAAGTCTCCTCCACCCTGGAGAGAGCACCGCTCATGTTCAGTCCTAGGCGTTTCCTGGGCCTTGCAGTGATCTCTGCTGTGTGGTTTAGCAAAGCACTCTGCTTCAATCCGGAGAGGCCACCCGCCCATCACTCTGTATAAGAACATACAGATTGTTTACAGGCGTCTGCTATACGTTACTTCAACTTGAAAGTTTCTCATCTGGTTATACTATACAAAATTCTTGCCTGTGATTGCCATTGATGGAGTATTCAAAAGCATTGGTCATGTTCTTTCCAAAGCAAGTCGGTCCTTTCCAAAGCAAGGCTCAAGCCATTTAAAAACATTCAGGGACTCCAATCCTCCCCAGAATGGAGGGGAAACTAAAATAAGAGACCAAATTTTGGCATCGGGCACACAACCTGACTCAGGGACTGAGGTGGCTGCTAGCCCAGGAAAAATAGCCCAAGTCAGGCTGATCTTTGTAATCAAGGTGACCCCTGTAGCGTCCAGACATATCTACACTACCTCTGATGTTCTACCCAATTTGTGAGTTCCCCTGCTGTTTGTGGTGCTGGGCATGGAAATCCCAGCCTCAATCTTGAGCCCTCATGGGGTGCCCATCTCTCCCCATGTGTTTGTAAGAGCTTTTGTACCTCCTAGAGARGCAGGGGCAGGTTCTGATCCCCAGACTGACTCACGCGGCTTAGCAAAAAACAACAACATTGCAGAGCAGGTTAGAGGTCTTATATATATGCTTTTATTTTTATTTATTTTATTTTATTTTATTGGAAAATACTATGTACAATCTGTTTAAAGCTTGTCAAAATGCACGGGCTGCCATCCAATGGAGCTGTGCAGGAACATAGATTCAAGACAATAAAAATCTTAGCTGTTCCTCTTCGTAAGACACTTCCTTTTTTCCCATTACAAAATAACTTTTAAGAATAGTAACATTTATAAACGTATCTATATTTGACTTCATATAAAATAAACCAAGATTCATAGACAATTCTAAAGTATTTGTTTTGTTTTCTTCTTTTTACGTGAGTTATGTTACAATATGTACAGTAACTTTTCACTGTGTTTGTCAAACCAGCCTGATTATATCCACCAGGCTTTAGCTTATATGTACAAATACGCTAAAAGTGCAAGACTTTATTAAAGCTGCCTGTGTTTTCAGAGGTCTGGAATTGTGTGGCCTGTATAGATGTGTGGAAATACACACATATCTATAGTAAAAACACACATAGATGTATGTATACAGGTGTTTGTGTGCTAGAAAGCTTCTCAACATTAACGRCTAAGAGGTCTACACTGACACTGGAGCCAAATCCCTGCCGTGGGAGGCATCTGCCGCGGTCCTCCCGTCTCCTTGTGACCAAYGGGCCAAACTTGTGTTCTCTGGAAAGCACCTGGTTCACCCAGGGGGAACCAAACCCCCCCCCAGCACCCCCAATTCCAAATAGGTCCCAAAAACACAGGGCAGATCTAACACCGAGGTAAACAAATACAAATCAACCTGAATAAAGAGCTGGCTTTAGTTGGGGAAGAGGTGAGCGAGAGCTTAAGGCCAAAATCCCACGGCCCTGCTTCAGTCTCCCCYCAGCCTGCAGACGGACCGAGCAGGCCCCTGGAAAAGGGATGCGGGATTTTTCCCTCCAGCGGGAGTCGGAGCCACGTGGGCTGCCGGCGGGAGGCGTCAGGATCAAGGAGACGGGGAATGCAGCGGCAGGAAGGGGCGCGTGATAAAGTGCATGGGTAATAGTCCCTCGTTTTTTAGCAAGGCCAGCTTAACATGTAAACATTCCTAGAGCCAACCCTGCAGATCTGCTGTGCTCCTTGCAAGGCCCTGCGTCCCACCACGCTGCAAACCCCAGCCCCAAACCCCAACCCTGGCYAAGCCGCCCGCCTTGGCTGCCTCCCTGCCCGGCCCCGTTTGAAAACCAGCCTAGAGCTGCCCCTTCCCCACCCTGAAATGCATCAGATTGACACACGGCAGGAGCCGGGCTCATTTACAGCAAAAACTGGGCTGCAAAATGGTCGCTGCGCTGGCCTCGTGAAGGTCAAGGAGGCAAGAGCCGTGCAGAGAGATGAGTTGTGCCCTCGCGCCGGAGCCAGCCCGCAGCCCGGGCAGACAGACACGGAGCCAGGGATCTGCTTTCCCTGGGAGCACGTGCGTGTCCTTTCCTGCCCACTAACATTATGTGCCAAACAACCAAATAAAACAATCCCCCTGGCCCTGCCACCCCTCCTCAGCCAGAACCACCTTAGTGTCTTGGGAGTGAAGACCCTAAAGGTAATCGCGCCTTAAGAAAACAATACCCRATGAACATATATAGCTGTGTGTATATGCATACATACATATGTATGTGTGTATGTATATATACACACAATTATACATGTGTGACAATATATAGAGAGYATATATCGTATATATTATATAATATATACACACACTATATCACTCTAAATATGAACTCTCTATAAAACACCATAAATAAATACATATATAAATATATACATATAAACCCCTACATATATATTTATATACATATTTGTTCCCGCAAAGGCAGTGCTGGCTGCAGGTGGGGCAGGCGCGGGGCCCCAGCCCTGAGCACCAGCCCCTGGCCTGGCCCAAACGCAGCTCCCGCTCCCGCCACGGCCCTCAGCCCGCTCCGAAAGCAGAGGTGTCACCGCAGGCATCACCGGGAGGACCAGCGCCCTTCCCTGGGCTCCTTCCCGCTGCCCTTGGCTGTGAGACCGGGCCCAGGGCTGCTCGGGCAGCCAGGGCAGGGCCAAAAGCGAAKGAATGCAGAAAGAAAGAACAAGGTAAGTACAAAGCTTCGCTTAGATTAAGAACTACCCTGTGGCTAAAGCTTGCGCTGACCGCCAGCTGGACCATTTCTCCGAGATGACTTTGTTCCTAGCTGACCACTCACAGCAATGGCAGAAAGGAGCTCCTGCGTTTGGGCTCCAGCAGTGCCCTCTGGCAGCACTCGCCTACCAACCCCACCTCCGAACCGGACCTGTTCACTTTTCCTTTGGAAAGACACAAACAGTAGGACACGTCACTATACACCCACTGAGTAATAAACGTTTTTTTTCTCTTTTTCTTTTTCAATCCATAAATATAAACATATATAGTTCTGACAATTTACAAAAATACAATTTATTGCTGACCCTATGGGTGCAGAACATCGCTTGCATCATTGCGAGTCTAAGTAATAGGTGTCAAATTGAGACATGACCGAGCAAAACCACAAAGTTTGCTGGCATATGGGATTTTTTTGTTTGCTTGTTTTTAGGTGTAAGGAACCATGTACAGCAACGGCCACTTGTAAGACCGGAGTAAGAGCAAGGAATCTTTGTCTGTAAACGGGAAAAAAAAACAATTGGCTACAGGGAGCAAAAACRTATAAATGTATCTGCGCTTGTCAACCCAAATGAAACATGACGAATGTGTTGCTAGTCGTGACACGAGCTGGCATAACAGGAGTTACACCAACGAGAACAAGAAATTCAGGCAAAAGTGGTGTTATGTGAGTTAGCAGCATCATCCAATCCTCTGGAAAACAAAACCTGTGGGTTTGAGGTATAGAAAAAAGGAAAAAAAAATAAAAATAAMTCTGTGCTGGCACTACCACATGGCCATGAGCTATGTACACGGTATTGGGGCATCTTGCCACGCGGCCGAGGCGTCACTGCGGCTCTTGCACAGAGGGCCTTGGTAGACAGGGGGGTGCCTGGAGCCCCTGTCCTGCCCTTGCCATGGGCCCTGTGGCTCCACAGGGACCGCCGAGCGGCAGCTGCTGCTCATGCGAGTGGCGGCCGCGGCTCCATTGGGCTGCGGCTGAGGTGGCTTCTTTGGGGCTCCATGCGCCCACTGACTTGGAGCACTTCAAATACCACTGCCCTTCTCTCCAGGCCCCACATGGATGGAGCTGGAGCTGCTCATGGCTGGAGCTTTCCACGCACCGCAGTCCTGCCGTGCAAGGGGACCTCAGCTTAGCTGCCACCGCAGAGYCAAGGGCTGTGCAGGACCTCTTGCACACAGCCCTCCCAAACCCTCCCGTGGGACCATCCCACCTCTCCCTGTGGGTCCTCTCCTCCTCGCGTTGCCACCCCTGGCCCGGTCTGCACCCGGCTGCTGTGGCCAAGGTCCTGCTGCTGTGCCGTCCCGTCCCATCGCGGCGCTCACGGTAGCTGCATCTCGGGCAGGTCGGGCAGGCCGCAGGGCTGGCCCTGCGCGTGGCGGCTCGGCTGCTGCGGGGGCACGAAGAAGCCCATGGGGCTCTGCTGCGACGCATGGGGCGGCTGGAAAACACGCTGGGCCGGCCCCGGCTCGGCACCCTGCATCTGCGGTGGAGGTGGGACACACATCAGACCATCCACCCCGGCCGTGGGGCCCATGCTGAGGATCTCATCTCCAAGGATGGGATCCCCATGGTCGCTGCTGCTCATCAAAGTTACAGGTTGCAGACACCTGGCCAGGGACACTGGTGTTACCAGCAGGACAAATGCTGCCCTGAGAGCCCAAAGGTGAAGCAAGACCTACCCATGCTGACACACCTCTGTGAAGCTCAGCAGAAAACGCCACGGAAAGCTATAAGCACATAGCCATGCAGAGCGCCTTTCTGCTGGAAACTCAGTTGTAGCTGAGCTCTTTGGAAAAATATGGCCTTGGACATGGATACTGAGCAAACCTGAAGAATGTTGTGGAATTGGCTATGTTTAGATATAATGGGAACAGTAGGTATATGAGAGTTGGCTAGGGACAAGTAAGACTTTGTCAGATTTTTGTCAGGTAAAATAGGTCAGATTGGGTCAGGATCTAGGAAGTTCCGTTTCTTAAAACCCAGCTTTGTGCATCATTATGTGCTTCAAGTCCGATACCTGAAGGAAGAGACGATGCTGCTGAACCTGTTGCTGTGGCCACTGGTGGAGGTGAACTGGGGTGCTCGTCTGGTGGGCCGTGAAGGTGGGATGTGGGATCATCAGCGACGGGGARAAAATGGGCGCCGGGGCTGGAGGTCGGACTGCGCTACCCGTAATCGGCTGCATCTGTATCGCAGCAGGCAAGATTGGCTGCTCTGGGACGAATCTGCTAGGAGAAGGGAAAGAATAGGCACAAAAGCTCCAAACCACCCAGGAATAGACATAGTGAAGACTCTGGTGTGATCCAACAACCTTTTGCAATGCAGCAAAAGCAGAGGCCACCAAAGAAGGCAGATGTTCAAATTCTTGGTAGGTTCAAGAAACAAATCCCTGAACAAACTCTACCCAGTGGCCATCTGTCACCCCTCGGGTCACCTCGTTGCCCCATTACGGCCTGGGAAGGGTTGGGCCCGGCCGGGTGCCTACCTCAGGCTCCTGTCCTGGCTGTACTCAGCCTGCTGCTGCGGCCGGTCACCGCCTTCGGCCGGCACRTGCGCGGACACGGCGACGGGACGCGCTTGCGAGAACACCATGGGGTTGTTGTAGAGGGACATTGAAATGCTCGGCTGTCCTGGCAGACCCGTCTGCTGCGCTTGGCTTCCTCTTATCAGKTGCTGCTGCTGCACATATAGACACACGCGTTAGGTTAGGACACACTCCTTTACAAAGGCAGTTGTTGGCAAGAGGACAATGAACAGTAGAAAGGGCTCCCTGGCCCAAGCGATCACACCCGTGCGCCTCGGGAGGCCAAACAAGCTGCCTGCACCATGGCCCACGCACAGCAGGGGCCGGCATCCCAGCCGGGAAGCAGCCGGGCACTTGCTAAATCAGAGCAGAAGGGCAAGGACGTCCGAGGGAGAAGGGAGCAGCTTAAGGACTGCAAATCCAAAGCCCCAAGCAAAGCTTCTAATGCTTCCTCACAMGCAGCACTATTCAGTCTTGCTCAATTTTGGACCTCGTTTATTTTCCCCATGGAGATGCAGCCATTTATGTAGTGGACTTGGGTCTAGAAATGATAAACTTGCTTCTCAAAACTAACTTCCAGCCATAYCCAGACAAAATAAATAACTTCTTTAAAATTATGCCTAGTACTCGAAGATATTAGGTTATAACTCTCACTGGTTGTGAAAGATGCATTCTGGTGTAACTGGAAAGGGAGTGAGTCAGATGACCAAACCGTCCTCCTACACAGTTCTACTGAAGTTAGGAGAAACGTGTCCAATAGCGTGCCATGACTTAATGCTTCTATGCTATGGAGCATTTATTTTTTTACAATGGAAAAACATCGCTTGCATGTTCCATTGCTTGAAGCACATTTCTTAATCCCATAAGAGAGTAAAGCTTTTGCACATGGGAGAGAAGACGGAAGATAGAGGGAGGTGCAGGTATCAAGGGCTGCCTTTATCCTAGGTGTACCACATAAACAAGGTGGCAGTGTCTTACACTTAGCCTCAAGTGCTGACAACTACTCAAAAAGCCAGGAAGCAAGCATGAAGATGAAGAGAGAGCCAGCAACCTGGGAGGAAGGGCCACCAGGTTCCCTGAGGAATTGGCGTGGGGACGGTAAGTGAGGGCCACAGTAGTGTTTGGTCCCAGTAAGGCCTTGCTGCTGCGACTTCTTGGCTGTGCTTTGCCTGGCTGCCCCAGGCTGCTGCTGCTGCGACGGCCGCCTTGGACTCTGGTGTGGCACGTTGTTAAAGACTAAGGGTATCGGCTGCTGCATCAACATCTTTAAGAAAAAAAGAGACAGGAGTTTGCAACTGTTTGCTCGGCTGAGGAACGGCAAGCTCTGCTCAATGAGTAATGCTGCAAGCACGAAACGGAGTATGGCTGGGGTCTGCACTGCCCTCATCTAGCAAAGCAGCTTTTCAGGGTGATGGGGGTGAAGGAATTTCAGCTCTGCCTGCCTTGCTTGGGGTGGCTAAGCTTGGGCACAGTGGGTGTTGTTGGAGCCTGGCAYGACAAAATGCCAAGTCTGCAGCAAAGTGAACCAGAACAGCAGGAACTCAGAGGCCAGCGTGAGCCCAAATACTCACACAGAGTCACAAGTGCTCCAGCCCCATTTTGCCTGTCACTTTCACAGGAGTGGTGAAGGATCTGGGAATGGGACTAAGGATCTGGAATGACACTAGGGATGCAACAGGGTTATTCGACCATTAAACCCTGGAGCAGTTCCTGCAGTGGGGGCTTTTCATTAATCACTTCTTTGGAATTTTTTATTTTCCAAATCAGGAAAGCTCAATACTTGAACAGATCCTGATGCCTCCTCTCAGAAGGTACCCTTCCAGCTACTCACACRCCTGGGACTGTACTACCAACCTAGCTCTTTTCTGAATGGTTTTGCTGCAGATAATCTGGCTACTGATCCAAGCGCTTGGAGGCAAAGCAAAGGGTCTGTGGGTCCCCGGAGAGCACAGAGGGGAGCACCGGGCACCCACAGTGGCCGCGCACCTGCAGGTTGGAGTCCTGCACTAGCTGGAGCTGCTCCTTGATGACGTGCAGCTCCTCTTGCTGTGTCTTGATGTCAGCTTGCAGTATGCGAGTCCTCTCTTCCAGCTGCTCCTTCAGCTGGTGCATCATCCCCAGCTGCGCGGGGAGGTGGTACACTGGCTGCAGAGAAGAGAGACAGGTCACCAGGAGGATCGGCACTGCTGCTCACAGTCGTCATGGTGCTGGCTTCAGGAAAATGACAGTGCCTGAGCTGGGCAGGTGACTTCCTGAAATGTTGTTATCCAAGAAACACCTTTGGACATAGAAAAGATGATGCTGACAAAAAGCATGTATTGCTCATTTAACCTAAAGTGCCACCATACTACCAGAAGAGCAGCACAACAGCGGCTCACACAGTGTGGTTTGCTCCTGATGTCCATCTGCTGCACTACTGCTTAGATAGTTTTTCAGCTGCTCCTGGGAGCCACCTTGGCCTCATGTGATGAATTAGTTCGCAAAAGCAGCTACAGAGCATTGCTCCCTCCCTGGCACGTGGAGAGGTCCAAAGGATGGAGAGCTCACTCTCCCCAAGGYGTGCCAGCCCGCGTAAAGACACCAGCACTGAGAGGACAAAATCATCAGCACACGTGCAAGCTGCTCCTCCCGGGAGCTCTCAAGRGAACTTTCTGAAGTCTAAAGACTCTCACTTCTCACCTGAATTTTAGCTAACTTGGCAAAAATGGTGTATTTGTCAGTCTTGTGTATGTTTAATGACCAAAGGGACACCCAAGTGACCTGTTCCAATAGCAGTTCTGCACTATCTGCATGGTCCGAATAGTCACGCACAACCAGCAGAAACCTCTCCAACCCCCACCTAGCAATGAGATGAAGTGCAGCCCACTGGAGTCACTAGTCTGCCCAGCAGACTGGCTGCACAAGTGCATTTAACACAAATAAAACACATACCATCACAGCTTGCTGAGAGGGAACTGCCAGCTGAGCCACAGGATGCTGACTGAGRTGGTCAACAGGGGCTTGAGGAGTTGCTATGGCCTAGAAATGAAAACCTGCCTTATTTTAGGTCCACAGCATCCCTAGAGTACAGTGCTGGAAGACCTGCTCACTGGTGTTTTATCAACTCCTATGAGCATGCAAACTTCACTGAAGAACCAGTGCAAGTAGAAGAGTCCACATGGAGGTTTGAGGATGTGTCTAAAGGGAGAATTTAAACCCCTGCATGCCTGCCTCTAATTGCAAATCAGCCTGAATGCTGCTTGACCATCCATGTTGAGATTCATTTCACACATACAAACCTGAGAAAATTGGGTTTGTATTGGGACATGAGGAAGGCTGTGGCCTGGAGGAGCTGACTGACTCCTGGAGGACACGATGCAGCCATGCAGCCTCTGTCCAAGCTCTCCACCAGCACCAAGAGCAGGCAGTTCCTTCACAGCCCTGGGAAATGCCAGGGACCCTCAGGCCCAGCATAGATGGACAAGGGATCAGACCTTTCTGAGGGCTCTGCACACCTAGCAGAGGGTGGGATGTAGCTCAGTGCTGTTGATGCACGTTTGACGGCTGATTTTCATCAGAGAGGCTACAGAGCTGCCTACCTGGGTGCTTCCACTTGATGCCACTCGCAAGGCTGCCTTCTCCGACTGACCCAGTTGCACTGAGGGCCTCGTGGGAGTGCTGGTGTCCGTGTGCCGCATTGATGACGTGGCTGGAGAAAAGGTGGATTATGGTGACATGGCAGCAATCGGAAGACACCAAACCCACACCCAGCTACCCTGGCTGTGCCCAAACGCTGCATACGCAGCTGGCTCGGAGCAAAGAGCTCAGGGAGCCACAGGAAAACCACCCCCAGGCCAATCCCAGCRGCTGCCCGGCCTCCCGCCCCGCCGCCGCGCGCGCCGGCTCGCCTACACGCCGAGTCGGAGAGCGCCGTGTGCGAGGAGCGGCGGGAGCTGTGCGACGAGAGCGACACCCCTTCGCGGCTCGCCTCCTGGCCGCTGCCGCACCGCCGCACGTCCACGTAGCTGCCGGGGCTCTGCGGGGACAAGCGARGCAGCCGTGGGACAGGGCACCGGCAAAACGGGCCTCCTGACTCATTCCTCCTTCTAACTGCTGGTTTTCAACAGAGGGGAAAGCCAAGATTGTGTTCGTGGAGGGCCTGGGAATTTCTTGAGGGATTGTCTTGGTTTGTCACCCATGGCAGCACCCTCCACATGCCTCCCTAGTTGCTCCCTGGCTTCACCTCCAGAAGATGAAGCAATTGCTCCCTCTGCCTCTCCTTGAGCTACCAACACCCACACCAGCAGATGCAGCTTAATGTGTACCGAAAACTCTCTCAGGTTCSAGTGAGGAGGGAAAGAAGGCACCARGGGACTCTGCAGAGGTGAGGCAGACAATCCTCTGCAAAATGGTCTTTGCTGAARGGCAGAGAGGTCCTRGGACAGCTTCCCTGCTCTCCCACCCCACAGTGTTTTAGGGAAATAATATCTGAAGAGCAATGAGGCTAATGCAGTAGTAATTACACAATAATCCGCTTAAAATCGCTTTGATAACTGGTCTTATTTGTAAACTATTGTGAAGAAGAACATCAGCGTAATTGAAGTGGCCCCGTTAATTGGGCAGGTGTGTTGGGATGCCAGACTGATTCAATCCATGGCAATTACTGCTCCCATCACAATCTTACACTGGATGGGATCCTGCCCAGCAGTGGAAATAGAACAGGAGTCTGGAATATGAATCGATGCATCGCTCGCCATTCCCCACCAGCTGCAGTCCCATCACCACCCATGAGGCAGCGTTAGCAAGAGAGGGCCCCGCACCCTGGGGTGCTGCTGAGCTCTCAGACTTGCTGCAGCTGAGGAACGATGATACGGACATCAGCTCCAGCTCCAGCTTTATTATTCTCCTCCTGAATGGAGTTTGTTTCAGTCACCATTTAAGCAAAGGACTCAGGATGATTTGCAAAAGCAGAACCAGCAGCAATTCTGCTTCTGAAATTGCAATCTTGTGCTCAAGGACAGGGTAGTTAAGAGCCATGCAGTGTTAAAAAAAAMCCCTCTTTGTTGGAGTCGTAAGGCAACAGATGGCTTGGAGGGAGAGGGGTATAAATGAGAAGAGGGAGGAAGAATAGATATTTTCCTAAGATTAATATGCAATGACTCTGTGTGGGATAAAAGCCTATATTTATTTAACTGAGGAGGCATATGGTACCTTTAAAGAGGAAGATGCCAGTTCGATTGATGACTCTTCAAGGCCAAGATCTCGCCTTCTTTCAGCTCGGACTTCTGCATAACTAAAACACACACACACACACACATATATATACATACATATATATATATATATATATATATATATATATATATATATGTATACAGATCAGGTAGAAAAACACTGATCATACAGCTTCTTTGCAGGTAAACTGCTGTAGCAAATGTACGTTCCTTTTCCAGCCTGCCAGTGATCAAGAATCATTTCGTTTGCATGTTGTTTTGCACGGAGCTCAGCAAGGCCCGTGGCAACACCAAGGAAGATCAAGCAGCTGCATGTAATGCCAGGGTTTGCCAGAGACCAGCACCTTTGCTTGGGCAGAGGACCCTGTTTCCAGGGGGTGCAGAATTAAATTTGTTGAAATGTTAAATGATGGCAATGGAAGCTGCTGAGCTCTAACTCACCTAAATCACTCTATGCACTGAATCTTTCTCAGTTTACTTTTTAAGACTGAGGTTCTATTACCTTGTCTGCTTCAATAACACATCTAAACCGTCAGAGACAGAACTATATTTCAAAGTCTATTTAAGATTATACCACTAGATAGAGTGCTATATCTAAGAGGTACTGGAAGTAGAGAGAAGAAACAAGTTCACGCACAGTAAATTCTGAGCTTAAAGTGCAGCTGAATTCCCTGAAGGGAGGTAGAAGCAACACGGTTCACAAGCAATCTCTCTATAAAACATTTGCTTAAAATAGCATGTCGGGTAGTTTATACCAACACACACACTTCTAACCACTTAGATCTGTTTATTCGTGTAAGAAGTTCTCAGTCTGCATTTGAGAATAGCAAAACTAATCCCAGTCTACTAGTGCTTTTTCATTTATATGTTTGTAAGGAAGGAGTAGGAGAAGAAAAAATAATCACAAAATTATTTCTACTAGTAAAGATACCAATGAAGGCATCTACTGAGGCAGAGGATCAAATTGTTGTGCTGCTACCTCTTCAAGCTTTCTAGTAATTAAATTCTCACCATTAACCCTCTATCAACTAGATAGGTGATCAACTAGATGCCAMCCCAGAAGACGCCAACCTTCCTTCCAGCTGAACCCACAGTTTTGTTCTCTGAGCACAAAACAGCTTCCCACTAGGGGGGGATCAYGGGCTAAATTTTACATTACAAATAGGGATACCAGGACCACAGCTATCATCCAGTCATAAATATTTAAAGCTCTGATCAAAAGGTTTTGTGAGAGATGTATGATCCCCTTTACACTCATAAAGCTGTCTGATTCTTAATAGCTTTAATCCTTCATGTGGCCATSTCACGGCTAGGGAGAGAAGTATAATGAAATGTATAGAGAGCCATGGCCAACTGTGGCTTCTAGTTTTTGTTCCAGTTGCCAAAAGAGAGTAATGAAAATGTGTTATATTTTTGTTTCCAAGCTGYCTATCATAACAGTGTTCTGTAGTTACGCATCATCTTAATGCATCAAGATACACAGCGTCTATTCGGCTAACACGAAACCAGGCTGAAGCCAAGGGGTGGACATGGGGTGAGGGCRGGGGGGGGTGGTTCTCCTACCTAACCACGAGGTGGGTGCACACGATGAACTCGGGCTTGGAGTTCCACTGGTGGTAGGTGATGTAGTAGTGTGTCTGCAGCCAGATCCACTGCTGCCCTTTGGTCAAGAACCTGTAGTAGCAGGACTTGCCTTTTCCAAACTGCATCACTGATAAACAAAAAGAAAGGAATTGATAAGAAAAAAAGAAAAAGAGTTGATTGAAAAAACACCCCTTTCCTCCTCTTGCAGGCTGCCACTGCACTAAAACTGCTTTTGTTGCTATATACAATACACACACAAGAATGTACTGGGTTGTTATTTGGATTCTTTTTCTCTTTTCTTTATATTTTAAGAGCCAGTTACTGGCAGAAGCMGGCCCTGAGCTCCTCTGAAAAGAATAAAAGACATAAATTTAAGTGGGTTTTGGCCTTTCGCAAGTACATGAGCATGCCTTTCAGAGACATGAAGTCAGGATCCTAATTACAGCAGAAAACAATGCAACAGYGGAGTGTAGCAGCTTCACTGCTTAGGCTTAAGCTGTTAGGGACAGGTTTTCTTCTGTGAGATGGCCTAAATACAACAGACCTGGTATGTATATCAGGCTACGTCCAGAAAAATCACAGGTGATGCAGTATAACAGGACCATAATGAGGGAACAACATTAATTGACCACCTTAATTGCTCCCAGGCTGCTGCGAGCACAATATAAAACATGCTCATTTAAAATCCCCCATTATTAATGCAAATAAAATCCCCATAATTAATGCAGAGTGAAATATAAGCGTGGTTTAAGCAAACCCATTTCACTTYGCTGTAGGCAAGGTGCCTGCCCACAGCGCTGAGCCTGCACATGGGAACTTGTCGAGCCATGAGCATTTTTACACGCCTGCACATCTCTACCCTGCTAAGCAGCAGGACCAGCTCCTTTAGCAAGTCCCATTAGCAGTGATGGACTTTTGATGAAGCACTTAGAGAAGGTCTTTTGGTTAACAAGCCACGCTGGGAATCATCCAGTTCCTAGCCCTGTCAGTGATTTCCCAAGYCATCTCCCACAAGTCACTTTCCTAGTACCTCACTTTGCCCACCTACATAGCAAGATTAAAAGGTCTTTTACTGCAGGTGTGTTGGGCAAATGCATTTTTAACCTCTAGGAGAGGATCAGTAGCTAACAGAGATGAGGAACGTAAACCACTAACCAGAGCGAGTCCCTGTGCAAAGATCGGACTCCACTCTCACATAATGCAGCTAATATACACCGAATTGCAGGCATGTATTAACAAAAGGATATTAGCTGCTTAAGTATCTCATTTCTGTCTGCATGGCTTTTTAAAGCAAGCAGCACTAAAGTAGTACCATAGGTGAGAGCAACTAAAAATACTCCTTTAATATTCCCATCTCCGTGCTTGGCACACTTGACATAACTTGTGTCTAGCCACTTTCACAGCTGCTTCTGCGTAACCAGCCAGGCAAACTGCTTCCCTTGCTCTTCGTTTCATACACAGCGTTTTATCTTGATCATGCAGAATGAGAGGGAAAGTGCAAAGCAGAGAGGAAGAAGGAATGGGGAAATTCGAGACTTCAGAGTAGAAGCCATCTTTTCCACTTTCTATTGTATTGAATTTTATTTCATCTGTATGGTGGGTAAAGGGTAGAGCTGGGGGCAGTTTGCAATTCACAGTGCACAAGCCTCATGGCTTGTGTGCTGGGCAGTCTGCAGAGTTTGATGGTGTCCCTGCATCACGCTGCTCTGCATCTCAGAGCAATTAGAGTATCCCATTTTCCCCACTCTTGTGTTCTTGTTTCCTTTTGACAAAGCACTTTCCTTGCAAGCAGAGAGCAGATAGACYGATGGTGAGTTTGCCCAACAGGAAACCTATAAGCAATACTTCTTGGCAAAACATCCGATTACCTAGGTGCATTTTACAAAGTGCCTAGTTACTTTTCACTGCACCTCTTGGCAATGCAAAGCAGCTGGAGATCAGATATAATTCTGGTTTAATACCTTATTCTGAAGTGCATGAGACAGATGGAAAAATACAGTCTCAAAGGTAAAGCATCTCATATGTTCATCTCCTAGGAAAACCACATGGGTTATTCGACCATGTTTCCTGTCACCTCTTGCCCTTCCTTACATCACCTCCAGCCTTCAGAGGGACATGGGGTTGCAGCATCATGCTGCACCACAGCAGGAGTCAGGCTGAGCTCTCCTGCTGACCTGACTCTACACAGGCTCTTGTAGGTCACAGCATTTCACCTTGCACAGKGTTCATGAAGAATCTCTGTGTTCATACACATACATCAGGTCAGGAACCTCCAGAACTGGACAAAACTGTCTTCAGAAAGATGTAATACTGAGACAAATCTAACCTGGGCTGAAAGCTCATGGACTTTTCTTCCCCCACAGACATTCCCAGGGGAAGGAAAAATCCCCATTCACAGCAATCAAGCCAATGTGGTCCTGGCTGCACCCAATCCGCTCCAATTTCTGCTGTGTGGAGTGTTCTGGAGYGAGTGTGTTCAAGGTGTCCACGGTGTCTATGCTCTCTGGGGATGCCCCCAAGCCTCCTGCTTCTGGCATGGGGAGCTTGGTGGCACTTTTCACTCTTCAGGCAAAACTACTTCAAGATCAATAGACAATAARCTACTGTACCACACAAGGAGTCTGTTATCAGTACTTCTGTATAACAGATCTGAATTTCCAGAACCATTTTACTAACCGTAAGTGAAGTTTACAGCACCTAATTGCACAGATAAGCAATCCAGATGCTTCCTTCAGGGTGCGTTTCAGTGAGCCAAGCCTGGTGGTTAGCTCCAGAGCCAGAGGGAACAGAAAGGCCCTAGAAACTGTGGCAACCAACAAAGTCCCAGGGATCAGGTCTGCTTTCATAAGCTGGAGTAAAGAGTGGAAAGTTCTGACYGCCCATTCATTAATCTAATGCAACCTTCAGCCATCTGTGTTTAAAGAACAGACCTGTCTCATTGGGAGACCTGCACAAGCAGTTCCTGATCTGCGTGAATTCCATAGGGATTCAACTTCCTGGTGAAGCATCAGCTGTGATAATCTTTTACAGGAAGAGAGAATTCCCTTTCTCCCCAGAAAAGGAAGTCTTTGGGACGGTAAAAGGTTTTGCAAAAGTGAAAAGTGAGAATGAAGTCTGGCAGGCTGCAGAAGGAGAGGAACTTACAGTGTTCATGGCACCTAGCAAGAAGCTCCAGGTCATCTGCGTGGTAGTAGTCATACCCTGACGTCCCCAGGACCTCAAAGGGAAGGTATCCTATGATAGGTGGAGCCCTAGAAGGGAAGCGAAGAGCAGGTAGTGAACACAAAACCTGATTTTGTGACTTCATGGCAGACACTTCACGACACTGACAATCAAACGATCTCCTACAGCTACTTGGCAGGGAAACTGCGGATACTGACCTCTTCATACACAAGCAGAGACCCACATGGAGATGTAAAAAAACGAGCAAATGAAAAGGTGYCTGTTTATTGTTTCACAGCCTATTCATTACGTGGGTGTAGCGCAAGGCATGTGCGTATGCAAGTGACTCAATCCATTAAGCATGCTTGTTAGACATGCTGCCCGAGAAATGCTGTGGATGTTCGTGTGCATATTAAACTGGAGCGTCAGTAAAGCTAGCCAGTAGGTTGGAAGTAAATGTCATCTGGGTGGTAAACGTAGAAAAAGAGWGTAAGTGGGAAGCCACAGTGTGTGTCGAGACCTACTTAGGGAAAAGAGAAAGTAATCGTTCCCATGGAAAAGCTTGGGAAACCTAAACCTGAAAAAAAATGCTTCTGGGCTGGCAGTAAGGAGGAGAACATGTTTGAGGCAAATTTTAAGGGCTGTTATTTCTCTGGCAGACAGAGAAGAAACTTAGAAAGTATGGAGATGTGGGGGTGTAAATAACTTCTCTGCTATCTACTCTATGTCTACTATTCTGCTATCAAGTCTAGACTGAGGCAAAATATAAAACTTTTTTAAACTGCTGTCCCCAAAACACKGAGCTGCATGGGAGCCTGCTTGTTTGGAATTGGGAAATAGCACTGAAAGGTGAGGCCAACAACATGATGTTTATATCTACTTCCTATTTCAGCAAGCCACCTTCTGTCCTCAAGCACACAAGTGTGCTCCTGTTTGCATCAATTAAAGCACCACGTGGGTCTGTGARGCAGCATTTGACCATGCTCTGCTAATTCGGCATTTTGCTCCACCTTCTTGTTTTGACTGCTGGATGTGCTGATTGTATGAGGATAATCTGCCAAGTTCGGTAAGTTTCTCAGGGATAAAGATGCCAGTGTATTACTGAAATAGTTCATGTTTCCAATCTGGGACAGCTTGAAGTTGTGTCACAGCTTATTAAACATGCCTTTTACGCTGCCCTTCTTCCTCTTGGGGTATCAAGCAACCCTCTTAAGGAAGGTGAATGCCATAACGTGGCCGAGAATATGTACAAAAAATATCTAGGTGTAGGTACATTTAGGTTGGGATGGATTGGCCCAGAAATCTTTGGGGTCCTACTGCCTGGGCCAAGCAACCCAGCTGTAAATCTGTACTCTTGGAGTCTAAGCAATTTCCTAAAACTTGCCCAGTATAGCACCTGATCTGGAAGAACCACCTTCCGTGTTCCCAAAGCTCTTGAAACAAGCAGCTCTTAATGCACAGTGGTCCCTTCCACAATACAGTCTTATTTATTCAAATAGCTTTGTATAGAGCACTGTGTTCCTTTCCTTCATGTGACCCAAATTTCTGTTAATGACGATAATAGGTGTATTTATGAAAGAGTCTTTCCTTCTCTCTCTTTAGCCAAATGTGCCAATGTCTCTGGGGTCTTCAATAACATGCTTATTTTCATGACAATGATGTCTTTCAGATGCACAGCAGATAAACATTTTACGCTGATCACAAAAGCACGCTGCTTTCCTGATTTTCACCAAGACTCTCTAAAATAGACTGTAACCACAAAATGCTTCCAATCTGTCATTTGACGAGGACCTGGCTTACTGGTGCAGCAGGCTGAAAGCCAAGTTTGACTTCCAGCCTGTGCAAATGGGACTGTATGGTCCTCTCAGAGCTTCTTGAGCAGGGGATTGGTGACAGTGCCAAAAGCTGGAAGGATGGGACTTTAAACCAACAACCTCCTAACACAAGAGCTGCAGGATGAGACCTTGCAGTATTTAACTGCATGAAGGGAAGATGAGGAGAGGACCCCAGAACAGAAGCAGATCATCATCCAAGTTCACAGGCCTTCGTCCTTTACGCATGCCTATATGTAGATTCAGATGCATATTTTTTTCCTCGTTTTTCTAATGTCTATCCAGCTATATAGAGTGCTTTCTGCACCATTTATTATCACTCCACTTTATCTCATTATCATMTATATTAGTGTAACTGTTGAAGGCCAGGTGCCAAGCAAAGCTGGGTACCCGCTGCTCCCCTGCCTGCACCGCTCTCTGCACTAGACCAGGCGAGGGTTGTAAGTGAATAAGAAACAGCAAAATCTTCAACAACATTTGAACATATTCTCACAGTGTGCTAGAGATCCYGAGGCCTGTACTGGATAAAGGTCTGAATGAATGATTAAATGAGACAGCCCACATGATTCTTTGCTCATTCCTAGGTCTGTGCTCACTGCTTGCATCCGGTGCTGTCACAAACTCTGGCTCAGCATCTATATTAACTTAATTTACTCTCAGTAACAGTGGTTTCCTCACCGGGGATATGAGAGGGGTTGGACCAGCTGCAAGCACCCAGCAGCAAAGAGACTCCTCTCTGAGTCATAACCCAAATCCATCAAAAGATTCCTTGATACGTCTTAGCAAAGCTCTTGCCTGCCTGATTCATAGGAGCTGCTAGGGACACGGCCCTTTGGAAAACAAYCCTGCTTAATTAGACAGAGAAATGAGGGATTTAGGAATCTAACTTTAATCACTTGCTTCTGAAAGTGGGTTATTGGATAGACCAATTAAAGGAAAGCAAAGTTACTCCAATAAGATCTAGATGACATGAATAATATGCAGACTACCCCAAAACACACCATTAACTGTAAGGTTATCAAATAGACAATTCTACATTTCAGGGTGTGAAGCATGGAAAACACATCTTTTCTAACACATGAATTCAAATTCAATTTACATTTGCTCTCTCTCTCTTTCCTGTACTCTTAGTTTATCTTTCCCCCACAAAAAGGTTTATTTTGTATTCTTCCTTTTCTTGTGATGGCTACCTTTGCAGGGCTTGTATTCTGTAAAGACAACTGCTGCAGAATAACCATGAGAAGGATATGATTTTGTGTTGTGGTCATGCATAAATGCCAAATACACAGGAGCAAAAGAGCAAGCAAAAAACTCCAGCTGCTCCTGAAAACAAGAATTCTGTACCTCTCAAGTCAACAAACTGATTCCAGTCTGTCTCATTCCCAAAGTCCTAACATTTCTCACTCTATTCTCCTAACAACTCACAATCTATTTAGGCAAAAAGCAATCTGTAATTTAAACCATTTATTCCTCTGCATTTTCTTTTTTTTTTTTTTTTATGTATTCCAGCATTTATCAAGATGCAAATCAGAAGTTTATTGATAGATTGAAAAAAAATTGAAAAATTCTTGGAATGTTGGAAAACATATGATCTAAGCCAACAGAGAGAGCAGGACACAAACTTGTTCATTCCAGTAATTTAATATCTCAGTGAAGCTGGACATTTTTCTAGACATTTTCCCTTCACTTCACATGATTTTTTAGTTGCCCAAAACATGAAAGAGGGCAAAGTCTTTCCGGAAGTCTGATAAGTAAGTTCAAAGTATTAAGGAGTCTAATTTAATTAGTGCTATTCCACACGGGAAATCAGGCAATAGCTACACAACATTTCCTATTTTTAAACTACAATTTGTTTATTCTCCTTTGACAAATCTCTTACCTGTGGTCCAAGAACAAAAATTTCCATTCCAAACTATGCCTTGATGTGAATTCTTCACATGGCTCTTCAACATTGCAGAGCTCCTGCAAAACAGTCGACACATTCAGATATTTAGTTCTGTGAAATGACGAAAGGAACCCTCTGTCAAGACAAAGGATGCACCATCTTAGTACAGTAAACCCCAGCAAAATAAAGAGATTTAAGAAGACCTGATTTTTTTCTTTTATTGAATACTTGGGTCTTGCACGCATGAACTTATGAAAGGTGCCTAAATAATTTACCCTGGGCTGAGTCACTGTTAGAACTAGGATAAAAAGCCCAAGGGCCTCATTTTACAGTCTGCAGGCAAAATTCCTCCTGATTTCTTTTCTTAATATTGGCAACTGAAGACAGATGCCAGCAGCAGTTTCCAGCTTCAAACCAAGCTCGCTATTGCTCTGTCAAGCAAGAAGCATCTACAGTTGTTATCACTGTTGCTATTGCACTGTGCCACAGGACAGTTAATGAGTAGGAAAAAAAAAGCAGTCCATGAAATRTGATGTTCAAGGCTTAAAGATATGAGTGGTTTTCTTACACAACGTGTTTCTTTAGCGGCTGCAACTTTTCAGATGGTTTAGCTAGTTGCCTTTATCAGAACTGCCTGAGCTGGAGGCTCTGAAACGTCCTGTTCCCAATCAGCTCTTCTCAAACGCAATTCCTATTTTGCCTCATTCCTAACTACGCTCAAACCCAGCGCTGTCCTCACTCATTTGCACAAGCAGGTCACAGTGCCAAACATCCTCTTGGAGAGGCTTCTGCAACAGGGCTCGTCCTGTAACATGGTCCTATGACCATCGCTTGTGGTAACAGTGCCGGGCTCTTCAGCTGAATGCTAATTTCCAGGATAAAAGGGAAAACGCCATCTGAGAGCTCTCACCTTTAAGAACTGCGGTGTGACAAGACGAACAGTTGCTACCAGGCAAATCTGCTCCTCCGTGGCTGACCTGAAAGCTCGTGCAATAGCTGACTCAAAGCCATTACAGGAGGGTGTAGGCACTAGACACAACCAGATACATTTATTTAAATAGAAGAAGACGTTTCTTTGCATGTTAAGACAGGTACAATGACTGATGACATCCAAGCAACGAATTTTTYGACCCACAGCATTATGCCACCCTAGTACACACTGATGTTAATCAAAACACGACCTTTTAGGCTCATAGTTACCCATCTGTGACCACCCCTGGCTTGTAGGAAAGCTTTAATGACAGCTCTCATCAGCTGGAACATGCACCTACAGCCCCCTTGCTACAATGTCTGCAAGAAGGCTGGAGACTGCAATGAAGACGTTGATATTCAGCTGATTTTTAGGCTTTGCAATATTTTTGCTATTTTGCTGTGTATGTTTTGCAAGTGTCCTACTAAAATCACAGATTGAGGAACGAGAAGATATAGGAAGAGCTGATATCACTTTTCTGCCCTGAACATTCTTCTCAACAACAAGTACAGAATCAACTCAACAGAGTCTAGAACGGATGTTAGAAGGTGTGATGAAGAGATAGAAGCAAGGGAATAGCACCTTTTTGCAACCCAACATTTGCCAGAACCAAGATTTTACAGGTTTTGCAAACTCTTTCATTTTTAAGAAGTGCCATTTCATTGCCACAAGTAAAAGACCATATTTAACGTCACTGGCTGTTTGAATAAATAGACTGCTTGAAAATTGACAGTGGCTCAAATGTAGGGTTTGGTCCCGCATCACCTCTTCAAGCAGAGTGCTCTGAAAGGCAGCCTCTCCAGCACTTCTATATGAAAAACATCTCTAACACATCTGCAACATATTCCATTCCTGCTGATTAGGGGCCATTTTCAGCTGAAACAAGGACTTTCYGTGGCTATGCATAAAGATACAATTTAAAGGAGAGAGGCAGAGACAAAGTAGGCTGGAGCAGTAACTTACCATGAGTAAAATATTTAAAATCCACTACAAATTTCACATATTCATACGTCAGGGGTTCATTTGGATCTAAGTTGCCTCTTGCTAAATGACAGCAAAACTCTATTTGTTTCTCCGCTGAAACGAGAGGAAGAGAGGGAGATGCACACAATGCTACTACAAGCCTGCACTTTATCACACTCAACATATCTAATCTCTGGGGGAGGGTGATACCAACCCTGTTGCTGCGGTATCTAAGCACATTCTGCTGGGATGTTCTCGATAACCCTAAGTAAATATACAACTAGTAGGAAAAATGATAACCTGGTTTTGCTTAAGGAAATGCAGTCTCACCCCTTCTCCGTGTCTTTATAGTTACTTGATGCATTGGCTTGGAGCCCTGGCCATGCTGTYGTCAGCAGCATTTGCCCCKGCCTCCACAGGGGCAGAATTTCAGGGCAAAGCTGTGAAATGACACTGRGTGTCCCTGCTGGAGCAGGCGAGTTGGACTAGATGATCTCTAGAGGTCCCTTCCAACCTCAACCAYTCTGTGATTCTGGGAGATGTTCTGCTCTGGCAGTGCTCAGTAGGACCCTGAGCCAAAGGGCACCAAGYCACCCTAAGCCCCTCGATCAGCKGCAGTGGGCAGTGTGTGAAGCCCTTGCTGCATTTTACAGCTGAAGTATCATTCCCTGGATGAGCCCAGGCAACCTGCAGCTCCCRTGGAGGAGCCAGTGCCGGGAGCTGCCCGAGGGATGAGCATCCCCCCCAGGGAGAAACAGCCACTGTGGGACAACTTGGCTCTGCCCTGCGATGCAGAGCCCGCAGCCAAATATAGGCTGGCCAAATCAAAGGTCAACTGTTGGGAGGGTATAGGATCACTAGGTGATGTGCTGCATTAAAAAMCAGACATATTAAAGGAGAATTTAACAAAACAGAAAGGGCAGGCAAGAGAATTAAAGAGCTGGAGAGCACTGTGTAGACKCCCCTTTTGGCAAATTTCCCTGATAGACAGAGGAGAGCAGAGCTTACCATTCAGAAAATCAGCTGCAACAGGGTCTGTCATGAGCACATGCGGAGATAGGAGCTTGTACACCTCGCTCTGCTCCCGCTCAGGCAGGAAGTTTAATATATTTTGGTCCACCAAATCTGACTGATACAAGAGATTGCTTTGTCATGTTCAGCAGTGCAGCTTTCCACAATCACACCGGCTTTCAGCCCACAGCAGAACACAAATGAGGCCCATCTAGCACAGATGCTTAACTCAAGAAAGTGATGCTTCACAAACAGAACTTTCTTTGAGGTGACATAGAGAATAAGGCTCAGGTAGACAGAACTAGCTTTCTAATTCTCATGCTGTCACAGCCCTGAAGTTCAGTTGCAGAGGTCCACATCACCAGATAGCAAACATTACGCAGCACTAAATCCTTTAATTTGGGTTGTTGCTTCTTTCACTGGACAAAACCCAGCCCTATCTTTGCAATAATAGGGCTGTGCTAAGGCAAGAGAAAGATTCCCCAACACACTGTGTGGTCAGAACTTACCGGTAAGTGTCCAAGCAGAGATGAGACACTGTCAGATACATATATAATAATCCCATCAGTGGTAAGAGCAATGAGAAAGCCATCCAATGCCTAATGGAGAAAAGACAGACCAAAAGAAAAATATCAGAAGAATTATACTAGGGAGGAACTTAAAATGCAATATAGTAAGCTAATTATTTCAAATGAAATACCTCTAACAGTCTACAACCAACACAGATTTAGTACAGTAAYGATGGCTCAATACAGAAAAATAAAAATGACACATGATGCCTAATTCAGCATTCTTTTTATGTTTTCATTTTCTCATTAATATTAAATTGACTCGCACCTTGCATCCAATGAGTATTATTTAACATGAAGCAAGATACTGGTTGCTAAATTTTCTACTCCCACACAATCCTGGTGACTTCAATCATTTCATTATGTGTTCTGAATTACACAATAGTTAACTAATTCAGTGCGTATGGAGATGCTAGATATCATCATGGCAAACCCAGCATGACTGAGTGATGGTTGGACAGATGGAAAGATGAATGGATGGAAAAGTAGTAAGAGACAAATTGCACAATGCTGTATTTTTAGCAATTTGTGACTATCATGAGTCAAATTTAAAGCATTACTTGTTTTGTTTAAAGAATTTATTTGCTAGATTGGTGATACAGTTTTAAATTTTGCTTTGATTTTTCTTTCTTATTCTCGATGGTATCTGCCCTGGATTTGAGGTTCTCCATCCCTTTTAAGTCACTGAATACGTATTGTTCTTTCAGTGATCTTCCTGTTCTTTACAACAGCTTCTTGTACCAGTGAGCCATTCTATTGCTATTCTTCTGTAACGACTATGAGGATCTAGGATATTTAATTTCTGGTCAGCACAGCCCATGAAGCAGCTCTTCTGGAGACAGCATGAGGGTGTTCTACAGCTTTTTCTATAGTGAGCTGAAGATGTTGAGCAGAGGTAGAGCTCACCATCTTCCCCAACAGCCACCTCACCATTACACTCTGCTTTAGCTGAAAATAACCTCTCAGAACAGATGAGCTTTTGACTTGAAGTAAACCAGTCCATGGCCTGATACACTCCAGCATCCTGACATTATTAAAGGGTTGTCTCCCCCAGCAGCTTCTTCAGGAGGAGGGGGATTTGTTTTGATTCAGCTGGAACAAAACAGCTTGTTCGGTGAGAGAAATTCCCAGAAAGACTGAACAGACTTTTCCAGGGAGGTGACTCATGACATCCTGATGAAAAGGAACAACTAAGACAGTGCAGCACCTCCCAGCTCAGCCCAGCATCCACCCTTACTCTGGTGGGGCAAAGAGCACCAGCTGCCTTCACAGGCCAGGAGCTCCCAGCAAAGAGGCAGGTGGCACAAAAGCCAAGCAGCATCTCTAAGAATGGCTTGGGAAAATGCAGGCTCTTCCACGAAGCACAGGGATGTTTTCAGATCAGCCAAGTGTTTTTCTAGGTGAGAGTCTCAGAGCTGTTCTGCCGGGCGCATGTGAAAGCGATGCAAGTAAGAGATGCTAATGGGATGTGGGAGGCAGAGAGCTGCTCTGTTTTTTTCAGGGCCTTTCATGTTTTTGCTAATACTACCAGTTTTAGTGGCTGTTCTGAGAAGGGCAGTTCTGTTTTTCCTCTCTCATCAGGTCAAATCTGGGCCAAACTAGTCTTCAACCCTAAATGAAAATCTAGTTACCTTTACAGGGGTTATTTACCACCTTTTTAACTCTATCTCTGCAAAACATTCAGCACAACTGTGCTCTCAGTCAGCTTTGGATTATGGGCACCAGCACTGTAGAAATCATTAACACTAGGACCTACAGGTGAAAGCAGCTGTACCTCTGAACTACGCCACTGAACTGATTACTTCCCACTAATCTATGCAGCTTTAATTTCTTCTTACCTCTAACATCAACTGGGTGAACTCCTCGTTGCTAAGAAATGAAGGCTTCCAGTCTTGTCTAATCTCACAGGCTTCTGTCTGTGCTGTGATTTCTTAAAGAGAAAACATCAAAAAAGCAACATGACTCATGTTCGTTGGAGATTTTTTTTTCATTTTCAAGTAACAAGAGACGTCTTTTAAGAGGCTTTCAGAAGAATCATCCTGAGATCATTCAAAGCCTTCCCATACACAAGAATCATTTTTCCACACCATCATGATACAAATGCCACTAAAAATCAAGAGATGAAAAAGGACAGATTTTGGGTGGGCTGAAGAAATCATTCAAAAATGCAGGTTAATGGGCTAATTTCAGGGTAAGCTCAGCAGAGCCACCGAGGGTACTGCAGGCACCACTGACAGTGGGAAGCGTCCTCAGCTCTGCCACTTCAGGAGGCCTCGCATGGGGACACAGGCAGCAGGACAGGCTGCCTCCTGCCATCTCCTAGCCCAGGATACCTGGGGACAGAGCAGAGAAACACCCTTGCTCACGTGTTTGTGATGCATGGTGGTCCTCTGCTCTTCGCTCTCATGCCCTGTCTGTGTGCAGCACATGTCAGGGGGACCTACGAGGTGCCTGGTGCTCCTCTCTGCTAGTCCTCCAGGGAAGCAGGGAAGTGGCACTTGGGGACTGGTGYGGCTGGCAGAGACTGTGGACAAACCATTTCAGGTCAGCACAGCTTGTGGACCTACCTCTGTCACAGCTAAGGGACAGGACAGTAGGCGAGGAGGAAGAGGATGGAAGCTGTGAAAGGCAAAATGCCTTTAAAAACTGGAATGTACCAAGGAGGGGGATTATAGACAGAGATCTAAAGGATCTAATGGTGACAGAGGACTGGACAAGGGACCGTGTAGAAGAGAGAGTTTTGGAAAAGCAAGCCACAGAGCAGACGGTGACAAGATACTATCAAAGCATCCAGGAATAGAAAACTGAGCAGGGCACACAGGAAAAGGAGAACAAGGCATAGCAGGGGATGCAGAGGTCAGTGAGGGAAACGGTGTAATGTGACTGCATTAAAAACAYACAGTCCTGACTCTTTTCAAGTGTATCCTTGTTTAACCGATCAGCAATGCATTCAAACCTAGCAAGTTTCCTGAGGCCAGCTGCTTTTTTCTGTCCCTTGCTTAGTGTTCATGTCATCTAGGCAAGTTTTAGAAGCTTGGGAAGAAAACAGGGCTCATTTTCAGAGCAGAACTCAGCAGCTTGTCAGCTGAGCTGATGCCTTTGGCACCAGGAGGGTCAAGAATGGGCCCATCATTCTCCAGTACCTTTCTGTTTCTGTAAGAAATCGATGGTCCTCTGCAGGATTGTGGACTTGTCCATCTTGAGAGGGTGCCCGTGGCCTTGCAGCATCGTGCAAAGCTCTTTAATGAGGACATTGAACTGGTCTCTCCTTTTCTTCTCAGATTTGTTGCGTGATGCCCTGGGTGACAGAAACACGAATGTCACTAAGTAAAATGAAGGACCTACATCTGCAGCCAGCAAGGGCTAATGGTCCTGGCAAAACACTTCAAGCGTAAGGATCTGCTTGGATGTTCATTTGTTTAAAACTAGGCTTGGACTTAAGTGCTTTGCTGATGCTTCCAGGCTTGCACCAGGGCTGAACTCAAAAAGAGCAAGACTATCTGGAGGTAACAAACACAACATAYTTATTTAAGACCATATCTTCACAAACTTTTTTTTTCCCCAGTTTGTGCACACAGACATAAAGGCCAAAAAAAGAAAGCTGCCTTATTTCCTGACTTCTACTCACAAAAGTAGCTTCTACACACAGGGTGGAGACAGCTGCAGAACGGAGCCGAGCACATAGTCTTAGGTCTGGTTTCGAAAATCTGGAGTGTTAACAGCATCATATATGAAACTGGGAACAGTAAGAGTCTGGCTAAGGAAACCACAGACTGATTTCCTACTTACATTAATACAATTTCATCATGTTTTACTAGGGTTTTCCTCTCTACTAAATAAATAAAGAAGAAAGCCAATCTATTATGTTTTTTTCCAAAATGTTCTTTCCAGTGCTCGTAGCAGAAGTAACCTTGTTTTCATACAAACTCTTCCAACGGTAATTAAATTTTTACAAGCATATTCATGATGATACATGCTTCCTGTGATCTAGATCAACTGTGGTATGCACAAAACATTTCCATTCATATTCAGATCGGTATGTGGAGGATCTCAGCTCCAGCTCTTATGCTCATGCCCACTTCTGTCTTGGCGCTGATGGAGAAAGGCTAATTAGAACCAAGCCCAATGCTCCTCTGAAGGGAGACTAACTCATCCTCTAAAGCAGGGCTGTCCTCGGAGCTTCACAGGGAACTCAATGCCAGGTGAACAGTGCTGCATGATGTCAACAAAATGACATACTAAGAATACTGCATCAGGATAATAAACAGGCACGGGATAATCAGGGATTCGGAGGACCAGACGATGTAATCTAGCAGCCCCTGTGCTGATTAACCCCTCACAGGGTGGCCAAATGCATGAGAGACTTGAAAAACAGTCACAGAAATATGTTCGTTTTGGTTTGCTATACAAAGCCTGTAAACTAAATGGGAGTTTTGCCTCTGACATCTGTGGTGCCCAGGTTTTACCCCTCAGACAACACAGCATTTGAAGTTGCAGCCTGGAAGAGCTCCCACCCTCTGTGCCCTGCAGACCCGGTCCTACCTCTTTGCCCTGTCCTTCTCATCTTCATCCATCAGTTCGTCTWCACAACACAGAGCTCTGAAAGGAAAAGACAGCAATACTCAGAGACATATCCTATGATTTTGTTGAGGATGTCAGAGTAAGACCCTATGGAGCTATCTATCTGCTTTGTACATCATGATATCCCAGACGTTTTTATATTCCCTTTCCCCACCTTCAAATCCTTTATGCAGTTTCATGTTTTTTTTCTTTCTGCACCCGGTACTGAAGCTTAAGAAGTGAAATCTTTGTTAAAAGCCAAAATATATACCTTCAATAAGTGTGATTATACAAGGAAAGAGATAAGAACCGGTAACCCCTTGGCTACCTTTTTTTCTGASAGAACCACATGCAAGCCCAGTCACTGCCTGATGCTACCAGGGGAGCACCACGGATGGGCAAATTCTGCACAAATTCTGTGCAGGAAATAGCAGCTATTCTGCAAATGCAATTTCGTTCTCTGATCTGTGTCGGACACCACTGTGCTTGACTCTGTTTTGGGCAATCAAGCAGGCTGCTGGATTTCATTGCAGTGGTTAAACAGTAGCTGAGATTGCTTTCGCAGCGGATGAGCGCAGGAGGACACAGGAAACTGCTGCTTTCTGGAAGGATTGGTATTAAGCAACAACAGGGTACTGTACATCGGGAGAGCTGGGAGAGCCTGTGATASAGATTCATCCCAAGCCCACTGCGGGCAGTGCCTGCTGCTTACCCTACCGGCCTTTAAACACACCCTCCAAACTGCATCCTGCGCTCGGATTCATACCCAGGACTTCAAGCTGAAACTGTTCTGCACCTGGTGTTATCCAGGGAAAGGAAGGGAATGTGGCTTGGCTTCCCTGTTGCCTATATATCCCTGCATCAAAAAAAATGTCATTTGGGGCTGCTGTCTTTATTTTATGCTCACTGTGTGCAGCAGTTTGCAACAGCAAATACCAGGAGAGCCRTGGTACTCCGAAATCCCATGAAAAGATGGAAATTTAGGCATGATGAGGGTAGTTTCTTAACTGGTAGTTCGTTGTCTGTGACTCGGAGGGCAGGACGGGCAGTCGCCTTGCAGACCTGGGCACTCCCCAGCCTTCGCTGCCCACCTCCCACTGCTCCAGAGYGGCTGCAGACCACGTCCCTCCCCAGCACCAGCACCCATCAGACTCCATCACTGGGGGCCCTTTCGTTGGCAAACCCTTCCCACCCTGAGGAACACTCTGTTGGCTGTAGAAGCAAGGATTTTCCCTGCATTGAGACTACTCCAAGCCCAAACAACCAGATGGCCATAAAGGTAACATAAATTAGAAGTCTCCACAGCTGATGGGAAGTTAAAGATACTGCTCATAATAAAGCAACAAAAATTTACCCTCACTTCCCTGCTCCAGGATGGGGATCTCCCTCCCCGCAGAAGACCTGGGCAGAGGAAAACTGAATGAAATGATTCCTTTTTCTCAAAAATGTGAAGAAAATGCACTGCAGAAGGGGAGTGGTTCACACTGCCTGAGTCATTGAAAACAAAGAGTCAAATCAGAAATTACCTGTTCTACTCTTCAGATTCATCAGTCCAGACTGACTGAGTGGGATTAGCACTTCTTATCACCATGTAAATAGAGGYGGAGAAAAATTAATCCTGGAAGGAAAAGTAAATCCAGTTAAAACACAACTGCAGACAATACTTAGCCTAGAGAGCTGCCTTCAGGCTGAAAACGTCTCCCACGGTAAATTAGCAACTGGCTCAAGTCAAAGCTCAGCAAAGTCTCCAGGAAGTGAAGAGCTGGGACGATATTCTCGGATTCTTGCTTCTGTGTGAACATTTACTTCACTGAACTCGCAGAGGAAGCCAGACAATACCAAATTGAGCCCCCATTTTTCCCTGGTGGAAAWATGTCTCTATCCCTAGCTTGGGATCACTAAGAATCAATACAAGTCCTCTGCAAAATATGACAATTTACCTGGTATGTATGTTATGAAAAGCAGTGARTGCTTGATCTGTTCTGTCTTGCGATGAGGAGTCTCCTTCAAGATGAACGTGACCAGCTAGAGCCAGTGCAAGTCACAATTAAGCACCTAAGGGTGGGTTTAGGACCTCAGGTTTGCTGCTGACATGACCTGAGTGTCTCCTTTTCCATTACTATTTGAACAGCTACCAATGAACACTCTCGATGCCACATGAATTTGAAATATTTCATGAATTTAATTATCCCAAATAATTTTTGTTGCATTATTACTTTTTTTCATCTCTAATGCTTATCATTCCTCAGTTATCCGCCTTTCTCTCCTTTTTCTCTGATCTCTCTGACTGTACCCACCCCACTGTGGTCACCTCTGAAACTGCAGCCAGCAAAAGTTCTTTTGATTCAAACAACCCCAATCCTCAGGCGAGTCACAGATACAACCAAGCTGCCCATGATGGAGAGTACTATTTTCAATAACAACCAAGTGCATTTTCAGATTTTATAGTAATTTCTCTTCTCGAAGGACAAGCAACCCACAATTCTACTAGGTCTTAAAATAACTTCAGAGATATACGTATAAAGAAAAACGCTTTTTTTTTTCAAAGCAGTGAGTTAGTGGAAATAAGACAAACGGATCCACTGCAATTTTCAGAGAAYATCTTCTTATTCAGCCTTAAGCACACAAAGATTAAACCATAAACACTTTGCAGGCCCAACAACGCCGAGCAGCTTTTTGCATGATGCAGCAGGATGGTGAGCTATAAAAAGTCTTAGCAGAAGACACCTAAGGACAAAATATTCTTAACAGGATTAAGCACTTCAGGACTACATTTAGCTAAGTGCTTTTTGTCTTGTTATGAGCTGGAGCCAAATATAGCAACCAGAATACTTAAGAATAGTTTCATAAGGGCTGTATACACTCAGCTTCGAGATAAGGCACTTAGCAGTATTGACAGCAGTATGTCTGCATGCTAATAGTATCTTAAACAGCTACAGATAGAATCTCTTTGACCTCGGCTGTATTAACCAGAGGGATCAAAATTTATTTCTTGCCTACGGAAAATCCTACTCTCCAGCGACACGTGGAGAGAAGGACTCCTGAACTCAGGAGAGGGGATGGGATTCTTGCCAGTGCTGCTGGCCGCYTTCTGCTCCCCTAGACACATGCACGTGTATCACAGCCTCCTTCATGCCGAGAGGAGAGGTTCTTCCTGCCCTCGCATGCGGAGAGCCTCAAAAAACGCTCACAGCATTTCCAGGGCAAGACACAGCTTAGACTTTGGAAATATCGTAGTATTTAAAGTCATTTCCAGGGTTACAGAAAGGGTAATGGAGTATGACAGGCTTAACAAGACAAATGGACTTCTCAGAAACACGTCTAAGAGCTGAAGTGCTATTTCATGCTACCCGCAATACCCTGGTACAATTATTCCTGAAGAGAGTAAGTGAGAGATGTTTTTTTAAAAAAAATCCCTCTCCTCTGTTCTGCAAAATTGTCTGACTTCAGGAGCTATCTAAAACTGCAGTCTTCTGACAACAGAAAATGTTTATTTATTGCATTAGTGCAAATCAAAATATTAACACTACCTTGAAAATAACTCCTGTTAATGGAGCACTACATGATCCTGCAAACCCAGTAGTTCCTATGAATGATTCATTTTATTTTTAATTTATATTATGTGATTATGTCATTGCAAGTAAGGTAATGCCATTTCATCCAATCCAATGCTGGAGAGACTTCTCCATGATCAGTAGCAAGACAGAGCATTTATTCTTCACCTGAAAAAAGGGCCCTAATTTCACTGTTTTTCCAATTGCACCAATTGATCTAATTAGATATATTGTCTCTGCCTAAAAGCTCTGCTGTGCTTGTATTTAACTGTTCGTAAAATTCTGCACTTGAGGAAAGCGTAGCAGTTGGAGATTCTTTAAATCTATACTGTAGGAAATCTTTTAATTATGGAAATGTGCTGTGCCAATAACTTCCACAGCCTTTTACATGCAATGAAATCAGCAGAGAGCCCTCAATTACCAGACAAAGCCCTCTGTAGCACAATATAGCCATAAATAAGAGATTTAATGCATTCTCCAGCGCTACGATTTATACGTCAATATGCTGATGTTTCACTCTTCCCGAGGCAACAGGAGGGCAAGGCTGGAGTTGACAGCTAAACAGCTGATTTAATTTTTAAAAGGCAGAATTTAACCTTTTCAGTAAAGTGCTACCGATTCAATTATAACACGCTAATGGAAGTGACATTTGCCAAGTGAATGGTGGCGCCCCAGAATGRCAATTCTCGTTGGACACAACCCGCAATCGCCCCTTGGTTTACGCTTTTCAGCACCAAAATGTGCCTATGGTCCCTGGCAGACCCAAGGCCAAGCTAGGGAAGAAGCTCACCCAGCACCTTCGTACCTCCTAAAGTGCACCTGAGTGCAGTGAAGTGATGGGGAACCAGCTATTTGAGGGTCTATCTTGGCCAGAATTGGGCTTTTTCTGCCATTCCTCCTAGTATGTTGTCTGGCTGCCGGCCCTCAGCCACCCTGTTCCCTTCCCCGCTTTATGGAGCCCTAAATTCAGCTCATCACCTGTGACAGATTTATGATTCCATTCATTATAGCAGTAACAGCTTCAGACAGAAGCTAAGAGGTGCCCAAAGAAAATGGATTTTACAAACAATTACACCATAAAAAAAGGCTGTATCAGAACACGGTGATTCAGCACAGAAATGAAAGGCAAGATACAGGCAGGAACAATGGTACAATGGTTTTTTTTTTTTTTTTTTTTTTTTTTTTTTTTTTTTTTTTTTGTTATTAACCAGGATATGCTGTTGTCTGACAAAAGAAAGGGAGAAGAAGATTTAAAAAAAAAATAAAAAAAAGGAGACACTTGAAAAGAAAAGATGATTACTGGAACATTTTGTTCTCTAGGATTTTTGTAAGATCCYGGAGAAAATAACTGGGCAACTTTGTTCTGTTCCAGTGATTTACTAAGCCTTGCAGGCTGAAGATACAACGCTGGAGAAGATGATTTAAAATGTCTCCAGGGTTTCTGTAACAAGAAGGGCATGCATGTAATTAATTCTACCAATTTGTCTAATAGTCTCTTAAAATTCTCAAAACACGGCAAAAGGCAGAACTGCTGATTCACAAGTCTAAACTGTACAAAACTGCACTTCTACTGGCACTGGCTGGCAAGGAGAAAAAATGAGTATTTGCAAACAATAGTTCTGCACTCTTGGAACATCTCACCATGAACAACACAAAATGATGATAAAACATATAACCTATAAAACATATAACCTATACAATTCTTCAAGGCACTTGGCTCACGACATAGTTTGGATTTTGTTCTCAGAGATGTCTTTTGGGCATGTTGTCCTGAAATATCTCGTCATCACTCTTCTGTTTGGTTAACTACTGGCAAAATTCATTCTAAGCAGAGAACTACATAAAGTTCACACATCATTAAATTCTCTATTTCCAGGCCTTGGGCTCCCCCTGTGCAATAAATAAATGTAATCATTAAATGGGAAAGAAAATGAGCTATCTAATCAAAGTAAATATCTTCTCCCCTACCTCTGTCAGGCAGAGAACAACCTCCAACAACTCCCATACAAAACAGGAAAAGGGGAACACATGGTAGGTGGCCAATGTGCTGGAAGAAGCTCTAACAGTCTGCAGACACCCTGGCTACCCTTAGTTCTGTCCTTCCTTTGCCTCCTTAGATCTGCTTATTCCACTATGCTGGACTGGGGAGCTCGTTGGCTGGTAATGGAGGAGGTCTTGGAAGCCCCGTCCTTGTTCAGCTTCCTTTGATTTCTCCTGAATGACGTCTACTCTGATGCTTTGCAAGCAACTTGCTAGCATCCTCTCCTCTGATGCCTGCACATCGGCAAGTCTGGCACACTTCACAGAATCCCAGAATATTCAAGGTTGGAAGGGAYCTCTAGAGATCATCTAGTCCAACCTTCCTGCTCAAGCAGGCACACCTAGARCATGTGGCAACAGGGTGGCATCCAGGYGGGTTTTGAAGACCTCCAGAGAAACATAAACACCATATCATAAACATATCATAAACCATATCATACCATATCATAAACACCAGATAAGCCTTGCAAACTACAGTCAATGCTGAAAGGAGGAATGAAAATGGAAATACAGTTGCCCCTGTTGTAGAGGGGAGGAAAYAGGGACATGCATTTTATCCTTGTCTCTTTTGGGGAGTGTCCCAGTTTTAGAAAACTGAATTTGAGACAGTTACTGCTTCTGTTCGTGGGTACCTGCATGGGAACAGCTACAGCCTAATTTTCAATAACGCTGAAACGCAGTGTAAGCACCTATAAACAAGGAGCATTTTGGCAAAGCCTGAGCTAAATCATTGGCCCAAGGTCACCTAGCAGAGTTAAGAAGTGAATCCAGATGTCCTGATGATTAGCTCTGTCTACTGGCATTCAGACAAGTCTTCCCTCCTAAAATAAGCTTCCTGAAGTATCAGACTACAGTCTTAGAACTTCCTTAACTATGTATCATTGATAAGAAGTGATTCTCAGATGAAGGAGGGGGGAGGAAAAATTTTTTTTTTTTTTTTTTTTGCTCAAGTGACCACTAAGGTTATTATTTTTGCTCAAGTGACCACTAAGTGACTGACAAAGAGATGCCTTCATTTTATAAC